CGTTAAATTGTCACCTTGTAAAGCTGATGAACATAAAAAGCCACGTGAAACGACCCTTATCACTTGGCTATCATAATGCAAAAGATAGACCAAAGTCAGTTAAAAAGTATTTTAACAAATCTAAAATATTTCACGGTTCAATAAAAAGAGGATTTGCTGATTGTAGTCAGGAGACATGCCATATCAGATCCAAATATGGTGGCCACGCGCCATCTCAGGCTAGAGATCGGCTGTCTTCTCGGGCCACATAATTTAATACCAAAATGCTTCTGTCAAAGTGAAAATGCGCAAAACCAGTTATTATCATTGCCCTCCACAGTATATCACGTTCTAATCAATGCTGTACACAGGACATCTAATACAGAGATTGTTTTGATATTTCAATAAAATTTTTAGTCCAAGACCATAGGGAGTATTTACAACCAGTTGATCTATGGACTAACTAGTCCATGGATCTAATATGGTGTGCAATTGAAAGCAACCCACATAATCCCTTACAATAATGTGATGGATTCCCTGCCTCTCAGCAGGGGCAGAACAATGAAATCTCGACACATGCTTTCAAGTGGGTCATGCCAAATTTAAACAGGTTGTGAATGCTCCCAAACTCTGAGAAGATAGATGCAACACAGTTCAAACCAAAACATTTAATTGTCACACCTCGCCAAATCTGTGAAACACCGTGAAAAACAAAAATAAATTCTACATTCATACTATTAAACCATACTCAGTCTGTCAAACCTGATGAAAATGCACAGAGATGAGAAATAATTAATACATACTAGGCTATCTTATCTATAATTTACAAATTGTCAAACTTTCTAGTGGATTGAAACAGTGAGAGTAACAATTCATGAATGCCATTGTGTGGAAAATGAAGCATAATTTATGCAAAAGACAGCCTGACTTATTTAGCCAAAGTTTTTTTTCACCGACTCATTTGAGTTGTTCTTTAGGTGGGTGGATTTGCTGGAGTTGTTTAGATATTATATATATGTTAAACATGTTATGTAATGATAAATTATGTTTAATACAGTATTAAGTTTGTTCTCTGTGTCATTTGAAAGAGTTACTTTTTGTACATGGTGTTCCACAGGCAAGTAATAAAAAAGTACTCTTCATCCTCCAGACTTATGATGTGGTTTATAATTTTTTTCAAATGGAGTTAATTGGTTAACTTTCAGCATGGCAACCAGCTTCAATATGCAGATTGTGACTACTGAATTTGTTATGATACGAATACATAAGTCTTTATAGTTTGTGTAGGAGCTGCAGCAAAGAGGCTTTGGATTCCAGCAGAAGACATGAATGGCAAGTCCAATGCACTAGTAATTTCAGTATCTTTGCTGGTATCTACTCTGGTGTCCAAAATATGCATTGGCACTCAATATTAACCGCCCCATTTCATCTATCAGCTACAAAATGATTATTTTCATTTTTCAGTTTAACAGAAATACAATCAAGATTTTTTTCAAGGTTTTATTTGACTATCATCTTAATCATTTTCACTTAAGGTACAGCTGAATATATTCATACACATGAAGATAATAACAGTGTAACCACCTTAAATAATTTTGTCTATTTTGAGAGTATTACTAGACACCACAAAAAGGTTACATGCATGAAAAATATAGGAATTAATTTTTCTTACCACACAGGTGCTAATTGCTTTGTTGGTTTTACCTGTGCACAGTTTTTGATGATATTAATAAGACACTGCCACAAAAAGACACAAAACAAACAAACAATGCTCATGCATATACATAAGCCTCAAAACTTAAAGATACATATAAAGCATGAGTGGACTACCAGTAACACAGATACACCACTTCTACTTGTTTCTTACACAACTTAAATAAAGTTGACATGCCAAGCATAAACCAAATTAATCTCTCGTTAGCCAAAAGAGTAGCTTTGAAACTGCAACTTTTTCAATTTTTGGTCGTCCTGTTCATGAAGGTCAGTTAAATGACAAAGCACTGTGCACATATTGCTTTATCATCACTCTTACTCCCAAATGTGGATGTATAGCTGCCCGTGCAATTGCACTTATTCACATGAAACTGCTTAGGAATATTTACAGCGCAGAAAGAAAGCAGCAAAATTTGTTACTATATAATAAAGGCAATATGAAATAATGTCCTTTGGTATTTATCTCAGTTATACTACTTGATACTATGTGGCAAAAATTGGACATGAATCTCTAAATCAGAAAACCAGTTGTAATCATGAAACTTGAAACCAATCATTTTCCCTAATGTGTTAAAATACTTTAAAATCAAGTACCACAACCATGGTCAAGAATCTCAGAAATTCACCTATAATATCATATACATAAATCATATACTTAAATCAATGCTTAGCAATAACCTGAGAACCTGAAAACGTGCAAGTAGCGCGGAAAAGAAGCAAACTTAACATATTGCAGGAAGTAGATTTCTAATTTTTCTCATGCCATTGGGCTCTGTAGTCATAATCACCAACTTGAAGTGAAGGATTGATGAGGGGATTCCTTTGTCAGAGCTTGAACAACAATGTGGAACCATAAAAAAGAAAAAAAAAAAAAAACACACGAGTGCACTGTAGTTACATTTAGATAATTGGCCAATTTCAGTTGATGCACTCAGTCAACTTAACAAAATGTTAGTAATTAAATGTACATGATAAAACTTTGACCAGAAAGTTCAAATATCACTATAATAGAAAACTTTTCCATTTATTACACACATGTAGATATATCCTATTTATGCTCTAACAAATACTTAAGACAACACTATGATGTAAAAATAGAGATCTTTGGTGAATTTCTTTAAAGTGAAATCTGTTTCATCCTAAATGATCCCCAAACCTGCCTCTTAAAAATGCAATTAATCTGTAAGGTGGCAGCTAATATTATACAGATCAATCTGTTTGTGCACAATGCAGAAGCACCCTAATCCCATATATAAATATACATACATATAATAAACTTGGCAAGTATTAAGCCACAACCATTGAAAAAAAAGGTGAAATATATGCACATGAAACACACAAGGCTCTGTTGACACTGGTTTAAATACAAATCAACCTACATGTATGTCTAACATAAGATTTATTCTAAAAAAAAAAGAGATACTTAACCAAATTTACTAGGTTCACTAGATTCACTAGGAACATCTCACAAACAGGAATTAAAACAAGCCATCCATCCGAGTCCCTACTGAAACACCTTTACGACACTTTTCCAAATAATCTTTCTTCTGGGGAGGGCATTCCACAAAAAAGTGAATTTGAGTCATATAAGTGATGCACACATTTTGTGTAACATATGGATAGCTGTTTTATAAATTATATTGCTTTCTAATTACTGTTGATTTCTTTCCACACTGAAGGGTACTATAGTTTAAAAAATAAAAGATAATTAGGGGTTAAGTCAGATTTATGCTAATATTTCACAAAATGTGTCACTGACTTGACACAAAGATGGTTTTTAGTGGAATGACCCTTGGTGTATTACATGATGCTGTAATGCTGTTGGCAAAATTGAAATAACATAAAACTAATAATAACAATAATATATTTGTTCCAAAAATTGAGTGATTTTTTTCACTAAAACATCAGCAAACAAAAATAACAATAACATTGCATCCCTCAAGCTGTAAGATGCAACTTGCAAGATTATTTAGTCACCATTAACCATAAGGTGATGCTTCTCAACCAATATCACCAACCTATTTTAGCTTCCCTAGCAAGCTTAAGTCTGAAAAGGTGTCCGTGTTTCTTTGTGCTTCTAACATTTCACTCAACAGTTCACAAACTGGAAACAAACCACTGCTCTTAATATTGTACACTAGAATCTGGCCTTCATGCGCAATGCGTCCAAGTGATGAGAGAAGCAGTAACAGATGTGCTGAGCGAGCTGGGATGTTGGGCGCCGTGTAAGTCACATAGTCATGCAGGGTTTTCATGTACTTCTCCTGGATTTGTCGAAGCTTACTTTTTTCTTCTAATCCTAAAACTTTGTCTAAAAACAAAGATGTTAAATTAGTACTTATGCATTATCAACTGCAATGCAACCTTATCTTGTTAAAAACATAAAACTTTATATTGAAAACTTATAAATATTTCGAGAAGTATTTAATACTACAAATTCTTTAGCAAAATACAAAAAGACATGATGAAGCTTCTGGCAGATAAAATACTTCAATGAAAAAGAAAATACTCCAAGTTGACACATTCTCATGAATGCCACATTTATTAATTTCTAAACTATTATTTTTATTATTTAATATTCTTCTGTAAAATTCATCCTTTATAAATATTAAAAATGCTTCAAACAATTATCCGAATATTTTAAATTTGCTCAAATATTCAAAAATGCTTTAAGACTTATCCTAAAGGTGGATTTAGAATGAAAGGCATAGACCTGCATACATATCTCACCTGGATTAAACAGAGTGAGAGCCATCAACAATACATATTCCTCTTTGGTCACTTTAAGCTCTCTGAGGCGTTCTACAAATGACATCATTTGGGCACCATAACCCTTGAACCCCATCGCATTTACCATTTGACTGAAAAATGTTAATTCCCCAATTTAATTTTTCAAACATGAAAACTGGAGGCAAATATTATATATCATACATATTTTCTATTTATTTTCCGATCCAATCTTACACTATGGAAGCAGCAGGAAGATGACATCGTCTCTTTGACCAATGTTAAGATGACCCTATGAATTAAATCATTTTAGTTGCAAGTTAACTCTACCATCAAAATAACATCATAAATACTATTAACCTTAAGCACTGGAGCTGTAAAAAAAATGAGAACTAGAAAGCTGGTGCACCTACATGTCAATAATAAAGTTTGGTCCTATATACAGCTTTCCAGGGAAAGGTATACATCTATATGTAAATCTGAAGAAGCAGGTTTCAAACCAGCTGCATTCCAGAAGATGAACTTGGTCATTCAGAGTCAAACTGCAATACTCTGAAAAAGAACACAACTATTAGAGCTAGCAGCAGAGAAATGTCAACTGACACTTCAGCTTTGCTTAAAGAACTGACATGGCTTTGTAAAAAAATGGCAATAAGTGGGTCATTTCTTTATAACATTCATAAAAGTATAACTCACCTTTCAAAAAAAAATTTTTTACAACACAACAGCATTAATGACTGATTATGATCAATTTTATGATACAAAAATTATGTCATACCAGGAACTTGTTTTGCCCAGTTAATGTTGTTGATGAGCTCTTTGTCAACACAGCTTATCGCTGGCATCAGATACTGCTCTAGAGTTGTGTTTTCACTGAAATTGACAGCTAAATCTGGTGCATGTGGCTCAATTTCCACCAACTTTGAGACCAACTGTAAAGCTTGTGGGATTGCTTTAGAATCCTCTTCTATGCTCTTTGTTGGGGTAACACAAGGCTGAGAATTAAATGATTTCGCGGATCCAGAAGAAAATGTTTCCTTTGATAACTAGAAAAAATTTTTGCACATAACATATACATTACCTCATTTTAATAAATTTGAAATAAATGTTATAATATGATAAGAAATCAATGAAGTTTTAATCACTGTCTTATTTACTAGGTTTTTACTTCACTCTACTCAGGGATGTGAAGACTGATTGCTGGACATTGACAAGTTTTGGGACTGGTTACTAACTAAATGACACTTAAAGTTACAAATGTATAAAATAGGTAAATTGCATTCTGTTTTCATTAAAATTACATCCTTTAAATATTCCACAAAATTCCATCAACTGCATACAAAAAGTGCCAAAGATTACTTTAACAAACCTTTTTTGCACTGTTTCCTGTTCCATCTTCTGATTTTCTTTTCACTGCAGTTTTGGACTTATTCACTGATCGTGTTTTTATAGCTAAAAAAAAATTGTTAACTAGAAAGCAAAGATAATTTCAACAGATATTTTTTATACCTACAGTCTATGTCTGTCAGACCACAGCCAGTAACATTACCTCATCAAATAATTTTGATCTACTGTTTTATACAACAAAGTGACTTTCTCATTCAAAATTGTAATAATATAGTATGTAAATCATTGTGAACATCAAAACTGTTGATAAAACCAGAATGCAAACAATGGAAATCACATCTAAAAATGTCAACCACTTACAAGTTTTGCACATTCCTGCTTCATTGCACTTTCGCAAGCGACATGCTTGACAACTCTTTCTCCTTTGTTTGTCTATCATACAAGTGTTTGTTGCCGGGCAAACATAATCCACATGACCTAGAATGTCATAATTGATAATCCACCAACTTAAATTAAGTTGAAATTAAGTTAAAATTTTAATAAGAATTCTATTTATCATATTTCTTATATAGGTCAGCTGTTTACTATGTTATATGGAATTATAGTATTCAAGTTCTTATTCAAGACAATGTCTGGTATGTAGCTGAAATAATACCTTGAATGCTTCTTTTGAAGAAAGCTTTGCAGCCCTCACAAGACCATACTCCATAGTGGAACCCAGAAGCAACATCATTACACACTGCACAAAGATGACCAGATGACCTTAAGCCTGAAACAAGAAATAAGTAAATAAATGAACGTAAAAACATGCTACGCAATCAATGAGTTTTATTAATTACAGTGTACATTCTTATCAACAATTTTTTTAAATGTTAAAATCAATAGGAAAAGTTAAAATCTGCAATAAGATTCTGTAAACAGGCTTTTCTGCATAAAAGGATAATGATAACTTTGAACCATGCTCTATATATCATAGGACATCCAACATATTCTCTTTGACATATATGCCCAGGCCAAACTTACTGTTCAAACTCGTATTTTCTGTCTGCCCGCTCTGACTGGCCTCTGAACTCTGTACCGGGTTTGGAGGAGACGATTCTTCCTTCGTCAGATGATTCTGCTGCATGGCATCATTGCTTTGATCCCGACTGTCTGCAGGCCGGCAAGGAAGCTGGCCGTTGTCATTTGATTGAGCAGCACTGTGCCTGATCAAGGGCTGGTTAGCTTGGTGATAACCTGTGGCCTGTTGTCTATGTGAATCCCCAGTCACATGTGTAGCTCTGAAATACATAAGCACCTTTTCATTATTCATCATAAATACAATTACTGACTTTAAATGAGGCCATCGTGTCATTTTCAATCACAACAAATCAGAATGCCATAAGAATACTTGTATATACCTGTAATAAAAATACAATCAAAAGAAGAAAAAAAAATGGGATGATATCATTTCAGTTACTCCGGCTAACAACTCTCTTTCCTGATTCAAGCTCATTAGCCTATGGTCAAAACCATTGCAACATTCTTAACAATCATAAAGAGTTAAAGACCCACCAAAACAATTGTGAGGGCGTCACACAATTTGTTTACATAAGTAATTTAGGTGTCAAAAGAATATGCCACATACCCATGACAGTGAGCTTCCAGTACCGCAAACAGCTCTTCCATACGTTATTTTCCCAACACAGGGTCAAACTATTGATATCTTGTCCCAACAAAAATAACAACCATGTTAACCTCTTTGGTGATATATATAGTTTGGGTTTGCTCTTCCGTTTAAAATCCAAACCATTGTGCTGCGAGATACTGTCCAAACCCTCACCAAAATGGCTTTACGGGCTCACAGCAGTGAACTCATTACCTTGACCCAGTTTCTAATACCGTAAACAAATCTCATTGCAGCGGTTGTGTTTTTGGCGCAACTGTAGCATTCTAAGTTGTCCTGTACGTGTATTTGTTAATATAGTTAGGAGCATATCGTATTTTATTTCAGGAAAAAATATAAACCGGTAACTGTACTCAAACTCTCCATTCGTACATGAACTCATGTGCCTTGTTAACTGTGTTAAAAGAAGTTCTTTAAATGAAAATAAGCAAATAATTCTATGGAAAATATTCACAACATTTCCAAAAATTTATACTCACATTTGTGAATCTAGAACTGAGCTTGGAGTCCGGTATTGATGGCCTTCACTTTTCACACATATTTCCTGCTCTTTTGTATCACCATGTTTCTTGCCAATGCTTTCTGTATCTGTCACAGCCAAGTCTTTCAATTCACAGTCTTTCTCATAGGGAGTAGAAATGCTTTGCAGAGAATGTGAATATCTATGGGTGTTTGACTTCTCAATTGCATTTAAATAAGACGATTTTTGTTCATCTGTTTCAAAGCAATGGAAACTTGGGTCTCTTTTGTTTTTATTCATGGACTCCAATTTCACATCCTTCATAGTCCCTGGTGTGAAAAACTTGTCTGTTAGTGGTGACTTGTGAGTATGAGATAAATGAACAATTTCTGAAAATGGAGACATTTTTTCCCTTTCTTCACTGGGAAACAAGTTTGTCTCAGTGCCTTTCAGTTCATGAATTAAATTTTTTATACTTTGTTCAGCAAAACCACTGTTATGGACTAGGTTAGGAGAAGAATTAGTGACATGTTTGTCTGAGTCAGTGTCATGATTTCCAAAGAGCAGGCCCTTCAAAGGTTGTTTCTTCATGTTTTCTACATGTTTGTCTTTTCTTAGATCTATAGGTGCTTCCAAGCTATCATCAGAATTTTCAGTCATTGTGGAATGATACATTTCATTTCTCTGCTCCTGTTCTTTCATCAAATCTGCCAGCCAAAATTCCTTCCCATTCTTTGGTCTTTTTGGTGGCGGCATTTTGGTTCGCCCTTGTGTCAAATGCCGTAATTCAAAGTATGGAACTTTTAGCTGAAATTAATCACTTAAATAGTGAAAAATGGAGAAAAATATTTGAAAAATGTCATAAATGTAAATACACTTCTAGCATTATATGCAAGCTACAGACTACACAGCACTACTGACATAAATTTAGTACAGACATGGAGGAGGAAAAAAATTAAGTCTCAGGTTCAGTGGCAGCTATGAGAGGTTTAAAACAATTTGCATGAAAATTCAAAATTTAAAATCCCAATATCAAAAAATATTTCTACTTAACAAAACTTCCTTGCAACTTAAAGGGATAACAACTGTTCACAAGTTATATATATTCCACTATAAATGCATTGTAAACAGCTCATAGAAATATAATAATTATCATTTTACCACCAAAAAAGGTGTTGAACACAATCATTCTGGAATTTGTGCTTGCCATCACACCACGTGACCTCTATAGATGGCTACACTCTGTAATAATCTCTTATGAGAATATTCAGAAAAGCAAACTTTTTAGAAAAAAAAAAAAAACAAAACAGGGACTAACTTTGAAGGTGGGAATGGATTCATTAACCATTGGTAAGTATGGGAAAATTGTCCTTTATCCCAGGAAAATCCATTTTTTTGGTCAAAATGAACAGTTGTTATCCCTTTAAAAGTATACAAAAATATAGTCAAGCAGTTTATGGAGTAAACTAGAAAAATACATGCACAAACAACAAAGGGAATAGTTCACATCTTTAAAAATTAATATTCAAGCAAAAAATAAGAGTAACAATGCAATTAATAAATAAATCAACAAATATGAAGCACAAATTCAAAAATATAAAGGACTGTATGAGGGTGTACGGTAAAGTCTTGAAAATTTCGTCGGCAGACGATTTTCCGCCGACGTAATTTTTTTCCCTTTGAAAACTTCGTCGACCTTGAAAATGAGGTACTCGATAATTTTTGAAAAGTTCGTCACCAAATATGGCCGCGTTGTCCAGCTCAAACATGAAGGTAATGCGTCAGTTGATTCAAGACAATGATACGACCAGGATATCATTGCCGATAACACTCTCAATGGGAGATAGGAACAATAGTGCGCCCTGCGAGCGGTTACTCACAATATAGATGGTTAAGATGTGAATTCCCGTTCTCAATTGCGGGAACGTCGGCCTTTTGTCTTTAGTTTCATTACTATTACCTGGCTTAAGGTGCGTTATCAAGCCGGTAAATAGAAGTCACAGGCCGCGGCTTTGTCATTTGTAACGCTGTTATTGTTATCGGCGGCTGTCCTAAATGAGGAAGACACAATGAAAAAATCAAGATATTATCTCGAAGTGAAATGTACCCGTCACTTCTATTCATGTCCATGTTCAACTTAGGACCATTTAACGATTACCTGGCTCGTACATGGAGATCGTTCGCAATGCGAATGGGACGAGAAGATAATTTTCATATTTGTAGCGGACTCCGTTCGCATAAGATCATCAGTGGGAGATCGTTTGCTATTCGAGAGAGACGAAAAGGCAATCTTCATATCTTCAGCGGGAGATCGTTCGCGATGTAAGCGAGAATAAAATGCACTTTTCATATTTGTTCAAGGGAACTTCGTTCGTGGAAGATCGTCAGCAGGAGATCATTATTTTAACCCCCCCTCCCCCTTTGAATTTTATAAATAATATATATTTTTCATTTTATCTTTAACCCCCCCCCCCTTCCCCTTGCTCACGGCATATCTTCGGCGGAGAATCGTTTGCGTACTATCGTCAGGACTTAGTTCGCGTAAAATCGTCAGAGGGAGATTGTTCGCGATCCGAGCGAGACGATGAGGCAATTTTCATATCATCATTGGGAGATCGTTCACGATGTAAGCAAGAATGAAATGCAATTTTCATATTAGTTCAAGGGATTTAGGGAACTTCGTTCAGAAGGAGATCGTTCGCGATCCGAGCGAGACGAAAAGGCAATTTTAATATCTTCACCGGGAGATTGTTCGCGATGTAAGCAATAATAAAATGCAGTTTTCATATTAGTTCAAGAGACTTAGTTTGCGAACGAACGTCAGCGGGAGATCATTATTTTAACCCCGCCTCCACCTTTGAATATTATAAATAATTTATATTTTTCATTTTATTTTTAACCCCCCCTTCCCCCGCTCACGGCATATCTTCGGCGGAGAATCATTTGCGTACTCTCGTCAGGACTTTGTTCGCGTAAAATCGTCAGAGGGAGATCGTTCGCGATCCGAGCGAGACGATGAGGCAATTTTCATATCATCATTGGGAGATCGTTCACGATGTAAGCAAGAATGAAATGCAATTTGTTCACGGAAGATCGTCAGCGGGAGATCATTATTTAACCCCCCCCCCCCAACACACACACACACACACACTTTGGTTTTTTTTTAAATATTCATTTTCATTTTATCTTTAATCCGCCCCCTGCCCCGCTCACGGTATATCTTCGGCGGAGAATCGTTCGCGTAATATTCTCAGGACTTTGTTCGCATAAGTTCATATCAGAGGGAGATCGTTCGCGATCCTTGCTAGACGAAAAGGCAATTTTCACATCTTCATCGGGAGATTGTTCGCGATGTAAGCAATAATAAAATGCAGTTTTCATATTAGTTCAAGGAACTTAAATTGCGGAAGATCGTCAACGGGAGATCATTATTTTAACTCCCTGTAAATTTTTAGGAAGTTACAGATGGTAATTTTAGAAGGCCTGACACTCAATCCTGGGAAAAGCCCTGTATGCAACAAACGTTCCCAAGTGCGTAATTTTTTTAACATGTCGCGTCCAGGTTATGATGCAAGGTTGAAATTAGGCTTATCTTGATCCTTCTCCTCTATCAGGAGGTATGTTTCTTATCGAGAAGATAATTCTCAACACGTTTTCGGGTACAGTCAAGTATTACTTAGATAATCGAGATGCACTTATAACTAGATTATTATTTACCAACAGAAAATGACTTAGGAAGTAAATATCCCATAATATAGGAGGGTCAAAGATAACAGTCGCTAAGGATAAAAGCACAAAGGCCGGATTTTTGAAAATTTCGTCACACCCAAGAGTCGGGGGGAGGTAATTTTGAAAAATTAGTCGGATTTACACAATTAAAAATATTAATTAATTTTTAAGCGACGAAATTTTCAAGACTTTACCGTACTGTTAAATCATCGAAAAAATCATCGAAAAAATAGTCTGTTACTGTAAATTTTTATTTTTTTTAAAAAAGTTAATTTTTTTGAAATCAAATTCTTAAAATGGGAACTTTCCCATTGAATGGTAGCAGCAACTAGACAGCAAAGCTGACACATATACAGACACAATACAGGAAACAAGGCAGCAAAGCTGACAAATGTTCAGACATTCAGAAAAGAGTGCACCAAATAATGTTTTGGCCAATTTTGATGCACTATTGCATAATGCTTTAAAACAGCATAATCACTCTTACCCACTGACATTATGTACTACAGGTAACATGGATATTAAAAAACTAGCAAGTTATTCAGTTTCTATGCTATAAAAGCCACTGAAAATGCTAACGTGTGAAAAAATATTCAAACAAACAAAAAAAGAATAATTACCGTAAATAAAAATGCTGATTTTCAAAAGCAATCTGCCTCTTTACCAAACAAAGCCACTCAGTAAATTTAATGTAAAACAAAAATATAGTTTGGCAGTAATGGGGCAAACATCACCAAAATTGTGCAAAAAAAAAAAAATAATAAAAATAAATAAATAAATAAATAAATAAATAAATAAATAAAATAATAATAATAATAAAAAAATAATAATAATAATAACAACAGTAAATATAAACCAATTGTACAGATTTTCGAAAGCAACCTGCCTCTTTCCCAAACAAAGCCACTCAGTAAATTTAAAGTAAAACAAAAATACAGTTTGGCAGTTATGGGGTGAACATCAACAAAATTGCCCAAAAATCCAGAATAATTACCATAAATGTAAACCGATCACCACAATTTTCAAACAGAACCTGCTTCTATGCCAAACAAAGCCACTCAGTAAATCTAAAGTAAGACAAAAATATTATTTGAAAGTTATGGGGCGAATGTCGGCAAAATTGTGGAAATGACCAGAATAAATATTGTAAATGTGAACGGATCATGCCCATTTTCGAAAGCAACCTGCTTCTTTAACAAACAAGGCAATTTAGTAAATTTAAAGTAAAACAAAAATACGGCAGTTATGGGGCAAATGTCATGTGTCCGACAGCGACAGCGATGGCAAGGACAGGGATAGACAGACTGATCAGAATATATACAGACACTTACAGTATATAAAAATGAAAACTGGTGTACCCTTTAGTTCTTTTTTATACAGAAAAAGCATTACAAATGCAATATATATTTTAATGATTTCAAAATTATGTAACTGAAAGACCGACGCTTTTTTCCATTGGAAAGATCGAGTCTATAACGTATTATTTTTGGGCCATGAAAACATGCTCTAACTGACAACAAGCAATAGGTTAATTTATGTGAAAATTTCTGTAAAATGCCAAGAAAAATACTGTTATAAGCACAGATTTTCAAAGTATGTAGGTAGATAAAATGAACAATGATAAATTCCTAAATAGCTTTTGCAGGGACGACGCGTTGAGAGGCGTGTGAGAGGCGGAGAGACCATTACAGGATTAAGCAGTCTTCCTTTCATGTAGGTCCACCATATTTAGGTCGTCAACATATTTAGGCCTAGCTAGCACTCAGCTCTTCTCATTCTGAATGGCCTCTAAGGAAGCTCTATACTCACACTTGCAGCTGTAGCTGCAAAAAATTTGTATCTTTTTCTTACTGAATAAATGATAAATATACCATCTGGTTAAAAATAGATAAACCTGCAGTGACTGTAAGAGGACATTAATAACAGATGATCCGAGGATCTACAAATCCACGGATCAAATATGGTGGACCCAACATGAAAGAAGAGCCAACTAATCCACTGATGGCATCCCTGCCTCCACATGCGCCATTAAACATATTAAATCACTGCTCCGAGGTTTAATTGCTAGACCCCTGCAAGGACAGCACATGTGGAGGCAGGAAGATCATCAGTGGATTAGTCGGCTTCTTTCTGTATACCCTGTTACTTCATCAAATAAAGTTAGACACAATTCAATGAAACCATTTTATGTACATCATTTTGGTTGATGGCAAAACTGAAAATGGATATTTATGAACAGTACTTTTGAGTACAAATCATAATATCACACTCATTGATTTCTCTTGTGGCTTTAACAACAATTAGTAGGTATATACAAAGATGTTGACAACAAAATCTTTATCAGTCCAGTTAAATAAGGACATGACTACTGAGTAGACCTTGATAATGTACAAATCCCTATGTTATTTACGTAAGTGGCCTGCCTTCTACTGGGTCACATGAGGTAAGAGGTTGAACAAGGTACTCCGACTTCATCAACAGGATATCGATACAACAGCATGTATTGGTGATCACAGATTTGAAAGAAATGTACTAATAATTAACTGTCATTAAGTAGTTCACAGAAAATCTGATATTTCCGATGTTTATAATGACATATGCCAGAATCATAACTTCAAGAAATATAGGCAAAGGGATTTGGCTTCTTTAATAATTGCCCAATCTATTTTTAAAGCATAATTAGTGCAGCAGCTAAGGATACTTTCCCACCAGCTGTACCCTTCAGTTTATCACATAACATGAGTAACACAGGCAGTTCACAGAAAACATAAAACAGCAATTCATATGACCATTCTTATGATACATAAAACTAAAAAGTATATTTGTAAAATCTATCACAGACATCTGGCCTACAGTATGACGTACACCAAGGTGAACAGGGCATGGAAAATGAGAGTGAAATAAAAAAGATACAAATCTTACTGCAAGGTCAACTGACAGCAATTTTCTTAGCATTCTGACCCTTCAGTCACTGGTACCATAACAATCATATTTTGAGACTACGGTAGTACGATTAGTGAACACTGCACCATTAGAAAACATGAGAGAAATAATATTTCTGTGATATATGAGCCAAAGAGACTGTACACCAAGTATTAAGCTAAGTTGTAATTTTTTAAAACCAAAAGGTGGCAAATCATCTTTTTTCCCAATCATATTTTGGTTTTATTGCATGTGTACCATATTTTGTTATTAATGCAGTGACCAGGCCACATCTTTGGACTTTGAAAAAAATCAATAATCACCTGTAAAATGTAAGTGACATGTTTACTTGGTTGTTGATATTAAACAATGTGCAACTGGTGCAAAAAGGTTGCAGGTAGTCATCATATCTCTGTCATCTTGAAACAGACGACCTATTAATATGCCATCTCCCATATCTAAACACCAGACCAATGACCTTTTATATCCATTATATAATACACACCAGGACTGAAACACCATTGAAAGGACACTGATATTACCAGTAAGCCCAGTGACTACTGAAAGGGCAACAAACGGTCATTGAACCTGCACTGGCCGCCATTAGATGTCAAACAGGGTTACAGGGACCCCAGTTATGAAAAGTTTTATTGTTCTGAGAGATTGTTTGTATCAATTCAACATGTTCGAAAATTCAACAAAGCAATGGTACACATGCAATATGTACATTTGATGTGTTTATAGGTTCCTAACAGTGTGTTACTGAGGGTTTTCAAAGCTTCCACATGCAATACAGTTCATAAAGTTGAAATTGAGTAACAGCTAGTGCTTTGGGCAAATAGGTCACAAGGTAAGAAGGTTGCATTGTACCCATCTTCAAAAGCTGGTTACTCAATTTTCATAACTTGGAGGTCTGCGCATTTCAGATATATTCTGCTGTTAATATATGGCTTATGAGGGAGATATTTTGCACTAAGGCTTATGATTATAACAGTCACTATAATTTCATTTCTAGGCCAGTGATTAATCAGGCACAAAGACCAGTTCCAATTATATAAATTGTTTGTCATATAAATTTCTACATGTGCTGGTATATATCGAAATTTTCCTGCTGTGAATTTATTTTCACTACATTTGATACAATATTTTTTGCATTTCTAAATATTTCAATTATTAATTTTCATATTGTGTGTGTGTGTGTGTGTGTGTGTGTGTGTTTGTATGTGTATTTTTGGTATTTCAAATACTTCATTTTAGAAAAAATAGTCATGGAAGATAGTTGGGACTATTGCTATTGATAAAAAATGTTTATAAGAGTATGCAGACTAAACCTCTGAGCATACTACATATATATCAACCGTGTTTTCTAGATGGTTTTTGATGGCCTAATAGGAGGTTGCAATTTTATAGAAAGTTATTTTATGGAAGTTAATGGGTAAAACAAAATGTTTATCATAATGTATACCCCATATGAAAAAATAAAATAAAGATATGAGATGCTTACAATTTTATAAAGTTATTCACCCCTCTCCACCCATTCAGTGTCCTTTTTTTTTTGCACCCATTATCAATTCACTCATTTTGGGGTATACTGGCCATTAAAAAAACATTTTTTTTAGGAATTTGGACTGACTGTCAAACATGGTAAAATGAATACATCAGTATATACTAGTATTTGTCATCCAAACAAGTTATTTATTGTAGTTCCAACATTTTCAATTCATTGTTACACCTTTTACAACATATTATGGATATTGTGATCATGTTGCAATTTAGTGCATCTTATTTTTTAACAGGGAAGAGGGGGGGGGGTAAATTTTGACCAGCCATGCACTAATCTACAGAGTACAGTATGAAAATCATGGTTAAATTTTCTGTTAACATTTGATATCCATTATGTGTGCTTATACATCAGTTTTTCGGTAATGGCTGTACGGTATTCTAAAATTGTTTTCTGTTATTTTAGATTCATTAAAACAGCCGAGTGTTAACTGAGTAATACAAATGTACTGTACTGTATATTATCTGATACATGTATAAACATTTGTATGCTCGTAAGTTTATAAGACTGTCATCAACCTACCTACGCTGTGTATAATGGTTTTATAACCTAAATAATAATCTACATTCATATAAAGGATAACAAAGATGTGTCTGAAATTGGTCGCTGTCCAAAATGTCATTGTTCGTTAGCAATAAAAAAACTTACCTGATTCTGTTAATGGTACGTTTCTGTTGAAAATGGCTGCATTTTCTCGTCTTTTGCTTCTGATTCGTCTTCCAAGCGTTAAACACTAATTTTATACAAAATAAAACCTGAATGCACTAACAGTACGCAGTCTCCAAACTAGTATCTAGAGCCTTCGTACTCGCTCGTCCTTCAACTATATTACAATGCCTTGTACTTGGGCCTAGAATATAGTGCTCTTAGGTCATGACGTCAGGTCAGGTTGACCCGGTCAATGCCCGCTCTAGATTCAAGTAGGCTCTAGATGATAAACATCGTCTGACACTACTGTCGATCTTGTGATCATTGTTTTCGATTTCCTAGCATGCTAAGAGACAGTACAGTATTTTAATTCGTTTGGTTTAATTCAGATGACATACTCCTTTTATCTTTCAATTTCACTGTCTAGAACTGTTTGACATTTCCGCACTTAAAGCAAATATGCCACCAGAGTGCGCACATATCACTTGTGTCTGGTTGGCTAACACGGCATACCTCCAGCTATTGGTCTCTTTATGAATCTCATGGCTGCTATTGCTTGTGACAGTGATTAATAGTCTTATGTCGACGGTCTGCAAAAGATAATTCACGGTTCTCTCAAATAAGCAGAAGTGTAACAATACACATAGAATTTAATAGTATATAATTATATGAGATATTTTTTATTAGTCAGAATATATTTGAAAATCACTGCAATCTAAAAGGAATTACAATAACTGGCGTTAGTAAAAATAAACATTTTATGGCATATTAAAGCAGTTTAAACAATGACATATTTACTAGTGCTTCCTGTTTACTGGACTTGTACATCTGGCAAACTATATTTTTAATAAATAAACTGTCTAAAATGTCTTAAAATGGTCCACTATGTTCATTTTGTTCCCATGAAAAGTTTATTTTAAAACGCTGACAATTTTACTATTTTAGGCCTATGTACATGTAGGGCACCAGTTTTAAAAATCAAATAAAAGAAAAGAATGCACTTATCAAAAATATCATTAAAGTTTACGAATGGCACCAAATCAAGAGACACGGCGATAGGATTCAACTATTGAAGTATAACTGTTGTAGGCCTACTTCCATGATCCTAGCTAGGGCACTGAAATGGAAAAAAAATCCTTTGGTTTTGTCTCGTTAAAGGCTTAATTTATTTATTATTGTTATTGATATTTTGTGCGGGGGAGGATGGGCAGGGAAGGGGGAAGTCTAGCAAATATTTTCCTAAACAAAACGATAGATTCAGCCTGCCCCAAACTTAAGTTATGCAAAAGACACGCTAGGAAGCCGAAAATTTCGTCAAAGTGCCTTAATTTACGGAAAGGAAATTATTTGAATCTGTCGAATTAATTAATTCTTCCCCACCCTCCATGATCACCCCCTGAGATCACTGACCTGTATGTACAGTTCTCATTTAAGAAATAGGCATTTAAAAGCAGTACTAGTAGGGCCTATTAGAGGGAAATATTAATGGGATTGACAAGCACTTGCCCAATTTTCATTACCTCCGCCAAGGTGGTTATGTTTTTGGTTCCGTTAGTTTGTCTGCCTGTCTGTCTGTCTGTCTGTTAGCAGCATAACAGAAAAAGTTATGGACCAATTTTGTTGAAATTTTCAGGAACTGTCAGAAGTGGGCCAAGGAACAGATGTTTAGTTTTGGTGGTGATCAGGATCAATAATCAATCAATAATCAAAAATCATAAAACTACGTTATGGACCGATTTTGATTAAATTTTCTGGAACTGTCAGAAGTTGGCCTAGGAACAGAATATTAGTTTTTGGTGGTGATCCGGATCATTAATCAATCAATAATCAAAAATCATAAAACTACGTTATGGACCGATTTTGATTAAATTTTCTGGAACTGTCAGAAGTGGGCCTAGGAACAGAATATTAGTTTTTGGTGGTGATCCGGATCATTAATCAATCAATAATCAATAATCAAAAATAAAAAAATTAAACCATTATAGAATGAAAATTTAGAAGTGAAACGGCATTGGGTGGAGACTTTGCTGTCTTGGCGGAGGTCTGCGCTCTCGGAGTGCTTTTCTAGTTATAGGTAGAATGTTAAAGATGGATATTGGTCAACTGCGCATCGTCGAAGGTCTGCCAGTTGTTCGCTCGGTTCACACGTTTTTCATTAAATCCATTATGAACTATATCCAAAGCAAATCTTTTGATATTTGTCACCATAATATTAAAAAAGTTGAAGCCTCTAATGGAAGATCCTCTCACTAAATTTTTTCTTTGCGTTTTAACCATTGTCGATAATTGGCAGGGGCGGAGCCAGGATTATTGGAAGCGGGTGGGGTCGCGGATGCGAAGCCGACACTGTACTGTACATGTATTATTTATCGCGATTCGTGAAGCACCCCTTTCTCGTGACTCGTGAATACGGGTATTTATTCTTTGTACTTCATGAGTCATTATACCCGGTGATTCGTGATATTTAACAGGCATTTTCAACAAGATATGAATAATGTATTATTTACTGTGATTTGTAAATTGATGCTTTTTTCCATGCATCGAATTCTGATCAATATCCCCCTTCCAATGGGACCCTCTATATTTTTTGTAAATTTATGTAAATTATAGTTTTCTAGTACGAGAATAGCGCATTTGTATTTTTACGCAGTTTGTTCTACAAGTCCGCCGTAACCAAAAATATGCCTCTGTTCCACACTTTGGACATGAAAGCAATTACCGAATATTGAGACACTTCAATAGTCTGCTGTTGTTATACATCCATTCATACAGAATAAATTTGTGCTCTAAAGCGCACATTGCAAAATTTGAAAACTATTTAGTTTTTACATTATATGTTCTTTTTTTTTTTTTTAATCAACCCTTTCTTTACTAAAATGCGCTTGACTTTCAGTTGGAGTTCACACAGGTATAGTCTTGACCGAGATTTGTCAGTAGACCAGTAGCAATATTATTATTATTATTATTATTATTATATTATTATTATTATTATTATTATTATATTTTGCAGTGTGTTTGTGTATGTCCAAGTTTTTTTCCTGCGGTAAACACAGTAGGGGTTAGCAAACATGTATTGTAGGTTGTCTTTATTTCCGTCTCTGGCATTTATCATATCTGATCCAGAATTGAAATAATTACAGTGGCAAGCTTGCTGTTCAGCGTTTAATATCATTTGAGTGACTTTCTGTTATATGGAGCATATATTGACAAGATGTTGTTTTTATATGCTATATAATTGTATAATTAATTTTATCTTTGAATATCGGATGCGTGGGTGTTAGCTCGTGTTAAAAATTTTCAAAAGAATTTTTAAAGAACGGTAACTAAGTATTTTGAGTTTGACGGTGTTCAGTTGTCACAGAAAATTGACAATACTTTGGCAATTTCATGATAAGTGTGCTTTTTTATAGTGGTTTAAAATCTAATAATGCAATCTATGTACTATATTTTCGTGGTCCCGATAGTAATTCATATTGATATCTATACAAGAAGTTATTATAGACCTCTGGTCCTACCTGCAGTGATGTCTTTTCGGTTTTTTCAATAAATGATGAAAAAAATCCTTAAAAAATTGTATACTTTACAGTATTTATTTGAAAAATTAAAAATTTGCAAAACTCACACTAGCCTTGGATCCATGATACATGTGTTTCCTGGCTCCAAGCTCAACCTTAAAGGGGTCTTAACAATATGAGCCAAGTTAAAACTTATTGAAACATGTTCTGATGTATTTATATCATTATTTTCAGCCAAAGTGACCCATACAGCTTTTTGTTTACTCGGTAAATACCGTCCGGTTTGGTGTATTCCTGCATCAAGCTCCAATTAACCACGATCGAGTGAATTTACTGAAAAAAAAAAGACGCAGCGTTTTTTTAATATTATTAATTTTTATTCATTTATTTTATTTATTTTTTTCTTTACAAAATTTAAAGTAAGATCTCTATTTCCTCGGTGAATCTGTGATAGATATCAATGAGAAAATGGCGAAATTTCAGGGGAGTCCGTTTTTTCGCTCTGTGAGTGCCTGGCCATCGCCACGACCACTATGAGTACAAAAAAATTAGCGCTCTAAATCTGCAGGCATCATTGTTCTTTCATCATTTTTTTCTTTTTTAAAGTTAAAAATCAAATGTCTGTATATAAAGAAAAGCGAGAGGAAAAGTCTTGTCAGAACAATTTCAACTATTGCTCATAAATTTTCTGGCCAGGTGAATGAAATACTGGCAGCATGTTCGTTGTTTACATCCGGGTTCGACACGCCCACCCTTATTTGGCCCTGGAAACCATATATGGGAACCCCTCGTGGCCAGTGGGCGGAACACTACCATATTTGTGACCATGTGCGCATGGAAAGTAAATCCCATATGCCACATTGCAAGTGTTATTTCTTCCGATAGCACATTAAATATCATGCTAAAAACTTGAAACGGCCTATGATCAACATTTAGGAATAGATCATGATAGTAGAAAGATATCAAGTGCTGTTTATTTGGGGAACAATCTCAGCGCAGTAATATCCTCGTGTTTGTCGTCGGTGAATAGGCCATTCCTTTTTCGTCAGGAAAGCAGTCCGCGTGGTTTCTATCCGCTGACAACTTCTAGAATGCCAAACTCATCACAGAGTCAGAGTCAGAGCAATCTGTCTAGCACAACGTTTCAGAATATCCAGGACATTTTAAACAGTGGCGCTATGAATGCTACATCGGCTAATACATTCAACTTAAGTGTATCTAACGGAGGTCAATTAATGAATAACAGAGGTCTTCCAAGTATGAAACACAAACGGGATGTTGATGAAGCAGGTCTAGATGAAGATTCAGACTCCGATTCTGAAGGAGCATCATCCATGCAAATGAGTCCGCAGCCACAGCTGACCAGTTTGAATGGACTTAAACCGGGAAAGAAGACGAAAGGAAGAGTGAAAATCAAGATGGAGTTCATTGAGAATAAACTTAGAAGATACACTACATTTAGCAAGAGGAAGACAGGCATTATGAAAAAGGTAGATATAAATATTATTTTAAAAAATGGAAATAAATGTTCATAAATGTGACAACTTAGGAACATATGTGACCAGTGCTCTGAGGGACCAAAGAGCTCTTAATTATTTAAATGAAAGTATTTTTAGACATGATTAAGTTTGCTTATCAATATGTTGAGGTCCTCTATATAAATAGTTTAAATTATGCATTATCAAAATATATTAAGAGGATTCAAAAATTTGGTCAGAATTTCATAATTAAAAAAAAAAAAAAATGGAAAAATATGTTGTGTTTTAGTTATAATCAAGTTCAACTGTTCTCATCGGTCGAAGTGGTTAAGTATTTTGTTAAACTTTCAATACAATATGTGGAGTTGTGAAGATGCAGTATAATTGGAATGTACCTGTGCTGTGCCATAATAGGCACCAGTACATCTGCCTTAATAGGTACATCTGGTTGTAATCAATGAATGAATAGATGCACATTATGAGTTTGTTCTGCTAAGTTTAATTTCAGATTATTTTGATATAACACATATTGTTTTAAAAATAACTGTAATGTGATTATTAAAAAATGAAGGGGTGAATTGAAAATAATTTTTATGTTACGTTCTGTACTCTTGCCAAATACGCAGTTGTGCAAAGAGCTGGTTCCACGCTGAAAAAATGTAATCAAATTATATTTTGCAAATCGTCATAAATTTGTAATTTGAACTTCAAATAATTACATTGGTATTCCTTTCAAAAATTATTCTTAATGAATTTTCATTTTATTTGGCAGTTACCAGTAGAATACATATCTCAGACATATGGCCTGTTCAGAACCAAGGTGATCAAATATGGCCACTCCACTTGAAAGTTTGGAATGTAACCTCTGGGGGAAAGCTTTCAAATCAATGGGTCAGCCATATTTGATCTGCGGATCAGTAAGTCTGTGGTTCATCTTGGTTCTAATCAGGCCCATATGTACCTATTTTGGCAGGACACATGTACCTTAAGTGAAAGATCAATTTTGGGATATCCAACTTTTTACAAGATCTTTCTCTCTGAACACTGGTGGTTGTTATTCATATTTATTAAAGAAATATATGGTTCTCTTTGCAGGCATATGAACTGTCAACTTTAACTGGAACACAAGTGATGTTGCTTGTTGCTAGTGAAACTGGCCATGTTTACACATTTGCCACACGCAAGCTGCAGCCCATGATAACAAGTGAGAGTGGAAAGGCACTGATTCAGACATGCCTCAATTCTCCAGATCCACCCCCAGGAGCAACTCAGAATTCTCTGGATCAAAGAATGAACCCCACTGGCTTTGAAGAAACAGAGCTTACTTACTCTGTATCTGAAGAGGAAAGCAAGGTTGATTTTTTTTCTGTAAAAATATCTCTTTTAGTATTGTGCACACTTTAATTAACTAAATAGCATTTGCATACAAAAAACCTTTTCTTTATCATTATAGGAATTTGATTACAATGTGTTTTGCATGAAATTTCTTAGGTCCTGTAAAATGAGGAAAGGGCATGATTGAGTATACTGGCACATTGAAAATAGCATTTCTATAAATTTGAACCATAGTTTAGAAAAATCATTTGAGAATTTCTGCATATATGAATTGTTCATTTACTTTCTCTTCGGTTACTTGAAATGTTAAACCGAAACATATAGTTTTTTTTCTCTTTTTAAATTTTTTTCTCTTTTATTATAATAATTTATTTTAATTTAACCTTCACTGAGGTATATGGTGATTTTAACACCACTTTCTTTTGTTTTTTGAACAATTTTAAATGTTTCTGGTCAAAAATTAGATTAAAGCACCAAAAAATTTAATGAATTTTATCTGGCCATTGTGTGACACTTGGTTTTAATACCATGTTTTCCATGTGTAGTTAATTTGCATTTTCCTCACATGGGGTTTCCAGACTTTCCAAAGCAGTTTAATCCTTCTTTGTTTAAACTTTGCATATGGTCTTCCAACCCTTATTAGGGTTCACTATTATTTTAAGCTGGTGCCAATATGGTTGGCCAGTGACCGTATTTGTGTGAAGGCATTTGCTTATGGTGTATGAAATGGGATATCTGTAAAGCATTTGGCAGGCATGCCCTTATAAGGCTTTGACTAGTATGGTAGGAAATGTAACTTGATACATGCCTGAGAAGGTATCTGGTAAAATGCACCAAAAATACACTCTCTGCTCATCAGGAGCAACTTTCCCTAATAGATGATCTGTAATTGACTTAACCAGGTAGATGAGATTGGCACACTACCAAAAGCAAACCCCATGCAATTTTGGCCCAAGGTAATATACCTTTTGCAGCTGTTCCTTCTTTCACTAAATATGCATCTACCTGTAGAAGTCAGTGAACTGAGATTTTTTGCATGGCTCTTACCTTTGATGCCGCTTGGCATAAAATAGGAAGAAATAAAGGGGGAACTAAATGAGAAAAAACAAGAAGTTGCTGAAGTTATTTATATTTGTTTCCTTTATTGGTTTTTTTATTAATAGTTTAAACAAGGAAGTTGTATCTTTGCCATTTTCAAATTCAAAATTCCAGCTGTGTGGATATTTTAAGAATAAATGAGGATTAACTAAACCAAAGGCTTAAATAAAGCAGGAAATCCAGATATCAGGCCCCAGAGATAGGTTTTAAACCTCCAAGTTTAACAGCTGCGAAGGGTGATAATGATATGGTTTAATGCAGTCAGGACCATATTTGGAAACAACATGGTAAAGGGGTGGGAAGGTCAACCTAATGTGGTGAGCAACTCGCGGCAGACAAGGGCACACCAATGTGTGGATCTTTGAGGGCAGTTCATTTAGAAACAACACAGCCATAAATATCACCAGAAACACAGGTTACCTGTGTGTATAAAGACACTTTATTGGCATGATTTATGGCATCCTTAGTGAACACACCCCTAGGAGGTAACACACAGTCATGTGGCCTTTTCTTAATTTCAGATAGAAATGATCTTTGTGTATGTCTAGCTATGAATTAAATTATTTGTTGATTAAAAATGAAAAAGAACAGGGACAAAAATATTCATTGAAAACTTCCAAAAAACATTTTATTGGGTAATTTTGTGGTAGTTTGAATACACGCATTAAAATGAAAAATTGATCATAGTCAGGATGAAACTTGTGTATTACCATAAGCATTTATTCAAACAGCATACTAATTGAAAAAGGGTAAATGCGCATGAATATTCAAATTTAAGAGGGCAGTTCTCAGTGATACAATGATATATTATAACCAAACTAAGAATAATCCTCTTATCTCTTTCATTCTGCAGAGAGCAACATATACCATATCAAATAATAATAATATTTTTGTTCGATTTTGATGAAAATCGGAAATCCATTAAAGAGAGGATTAAAAGCATGCAATGGCCAAATATAAATTTATTTCTGTGCCCAATCCCAACTATGTTTTCTGCCCATTTGTAACTAAAGCAAGGAGGCAGATGTTAACAACAGCAATAAATAGCGATTTACAATATCAACATAGTTGTGCTATAATTCTAGTTTTTGTTTTTATTTTTTAGTGAAGTCTTGAATGATGCTTACTTGGCCTGATAGTGTCAGAAAACTATGCCTATACCATTGTGCTTATTCATTTAAAGAATGAAAACTAATTCTAACGTGACAGAATAATGTATGAACCTGTGTGTATATGTTACAGACTCCAGAACCAGGCCAGAAATATGTAATGGCAGGTGAAAGCATTGCACAATCCCAAGGTGGGCAGCAGCAAATGTCATCAACACCTCAGACCATCTCCATGACAACATATTTACCACCTGCCTCATCATCTGCTGGCAGCACAAGTAATACGTCAAAACAGAGCAACTTTTCTATGCAGTTACCTACTGGGAATATTGCAACAATATTACCAGGTAATGGTAGGTTGATATTTTTATTTTTTGATTTATGTCAAAATATTTCGACGTATGTTAAAATACTTAAACATTCCCTGGAGCATAATCCAGTGATTTAGTAGTCATATTAAGATGAAATCTGTTAAGGTTTGGTTATTTTAATATTGAAATTTATATTTAATCTTTCTTAAAATGTATAAAGCTTAATAACTGACTGACAAATAGCAAATGAAAATCTCTGGTTAGGTTTAAAAGAAATTCAAATATAAGCTTCAAATTATATTGCCACCATCTTTCGCCCTTCACCTTGCTTGCTTGCATGCTAGTCTTGATTATAATCTGATGCTGCAAACAATGCTCCACTCTGTCCCATTCCCTTTAGGTGTCCCTCCTGGTACCCCTTTTGCTATTGGTCCTATACAACAACAACAAACAATAGGCCAGCAGCAGCAAACTGTCTACAGATTCCCTACACCTGCAGGAGTGATGTCCTTTGCAGGTAAGTTGGCCTTTAATGCTCATGCTGAAAACTTGCTTGGAATACATCTCTGCCATTTTCTGTCACCCAAATTATATTGTTTCACAACTTGCATATCCCTTGTTTTATTGTCATATTTATTGTATGGTAACCGCTAGCATCACTAATAAGGTTGAAAGTTTGCATACCTAACATCTAAATTTATTTCTGATCCTTTCTCTTTCTTGTATCAATGACTCTTATGCTGAAAATAGTATGCATGCTTTGAAAATACTTTAAGGAAAATACAGTTTACTATAACAAACCTTGTATATATGTGATTTTTATGTAATGTCTACTAAGTACATAGGTGATTTTTACGGACACTTACTATAATTTAGATATTATTCTTGTGTCTATCTTACTGCCTCATACAGCAGCAAACAATTCAGTTTGAATTAAAAAATATAGGATGTCATTTATAAGTAAGCAAGGCATGGTTTTTATGCCAAAAGTCATTTACTTAATGTAGGTTCAAAGATAGTACTGAGGTTATTTTGTAGTGGCCATAATGACATGTGATTTCAATATTTTCTTTTCTTTTAAACACAGGCCTTCCGACAACAACAACATCCCAGTCAGATGTTAATCAGAATGTTTCAAACACTACACTGTCAGTCATGTCTGGTAAGATTGATCTTACTTTAACTTGATATTATTTGTACTAGTAAACAAATAAATGAAATATGTGTATGATGTACACTTTTAGGACCCTCTGTGCCTCCCCCCCCCCCTCCCCAGTTTTCCTATTAAGTAATCGCCTAGCAAGCTTAGGTTCTATGTATATGACTAACAAAAATGTATTATGGAAACCAGTTACGTGAGCTATTGATTTTCGAAGTACCCTGCATAAATGTTGTATGGTTCCAGGGAACACCACGTCTTCCTCCAATGTAACACCAGGCACAGTAATGTACCAGACTCCTCAAGGTGTGGTGTATGCCACACCCACTACCATCCAGCTTAGTGCCCTAGCAGAGGGTGGTTATGTACTTAACCAGCCACAAACCCCTACAGCCATTACACTTGCACAAGACCAGCACAATGGGACACAAAGTAAGAAAATAAACAGTAAATATGACATAAGGCAGAGATGAAATTGGTTTTGATGTGGTTTAGATGATGATACAGTCATCAATTAGTAGCCAGCCCAGCAGGAATCCTCCTTACTATGTGAATTGTAGTTTGCAGAGATTGATTTCTGTTGAGCTGGTGACTGTCTAAACGCTAAAGCATAATTTTAACCACTTTAGAACCTGTTTTATATCTGCCTGTATGAATATATACTGAACAAAATTAATTTGGCCAGTGTTATTTTTGCTCGATTAGGATTTTGTTATTGGGATTTCAATCATGTATAATACATGTGCCATCACATATTGTTCTATGTTGAAAAATTATTATTGTCCATAACTATGGGCGGGGGTTTATACAAAAATTAAAAACACGATTAGTCGTTGTCAGATCAGACAAATTAAAAACACGATTAGACGTCGTTTTATTTCACGTACAGCTCTGCGACTCGTATTGTATCTATCACATACTAGCCTACTATAGTACAACATCTGTCAACTCTCCTCAATCTGTCAATCACAAATTAAGCACTTAATTGTCAGTGTCAGATTTTCGCGGTATTGACTGTGAAGTCGGCGCACGGGTAGCCAAGACCATTGACATGAGCGCCATCTAGCGTCAAATTGAGTTTTGGCTTCTAGTTGCGTTTGACGACTAGTCATATTTTGCCGTCTGATCTGATAACGACGACGTCTAATCGTGTTTTTAATTTGTCTGATCTGATAACTACGACGTCTAATCGTGTTTTTAATGCGTGAAATTCAGAAATGCCTCGTTAAATTCTAAAGTATCGCCGTCTGATCTGATAACAACGACGTCTAATCGTGTTTTTTATTCATCTGATCTGATAACGACGACGACTAATCATGTTTTTAATTTTTGTATAAACCGCCTCCCATACATAACAATGTTTTTTTCTTTTGACCAGCATACATTAAATTGCTTGCTGTATGAGAGAAGTTATGTAAAACAAAGATGATATTTGGACAAAAATTATATTTTCTGCAGATTCATAAAAATGAGGGAGACAAAAATTCTTTCTTGATGTCATCTTATATCAGCTAGTGATGCTAGGGCAAAACTTCCTTGTCAGCATTTGTTATATTGAAGGAATGATGATACAGCTAGGGAATGTTGATCTATTCTTTTACACCTCTTCTTTAATAAAAAGAAAAAATAAGTAAGAAAGGAAAACTTAGATACTTTATTTAGATATGTCAGGGAGCATTCAACACATTTTCTCAGGGTCACTACAAAACAACTTGTGAGTGTAAGTTCAACCGATGCTATTCCAACGCAAGGTTTTTATGGAAAGACCAAAGCTAGAAAGTGTTAAAGACCACATTGGTCAGAGTTATCACATTTTCAAACTTATTTTGTGCTGTTAACAGGTGAAAGTGTTTAGAGCAATAATCAGAAACATCTCTAAGGCAGTAAAAATAAATTGCTTCACAGTGGCAAGTCTTACTTGTTCAAACAAACCATGTGGGATCAAAGTAGTTCCCAGATACCTGTATGGCAACCAAATCAAATAAGGCTGCACTGTCCAAAATTGAATTGAAATATGTTGAGCTGTCAGAGCACAGGAATCAACAAACTAAAGGGTTTATGTTATGTTGTTCTCTAAATGCAAGAAAGATGTTATATACAAATGAGTACGATCTGAGGCCCCTTTCACATTGAGTGGTATGACTGTACCTGTCCACTTTGAGAGATTGCAGACTTAATAGCCCTGTATTTAATAGAATTACATAAGAAAATTAAATGGCGCCCCCAGCCCCCTTTCCCAGCTTGCCAGTTAATTTAACTAAATAGCAAGATGTGAACTTAAGGGAGGGCTTGTGTAAAAAACCTATGGTGTAACTCTGTGTTAGGATCTGTCAAATGGGATTGATCCAGTAAATTAACTGCTTGATGTGAAAAAGATATGCCTAAGACATTCCAGAAATTTAGATTTATTTCTGTAAAAAAAAAAAAAGAAAAGAAAAAAAATTAAATTTAAAAAAAAAAGAAAAATAAAATAAAGGAATACCTGTCAGGTCAGAAATAGTAGTATCCTGTTTAAAAGCATTAGATCATGCATTCTGTGTCATGACGTAACCTTGAATTACCATCTATCACTGCCTTAAGGATATTGTCACCCTTCGCCCAAAACTCCTTATTTGCTGCCTTACATACATTTTTTGGGTAATAAATAAATATTCAGTGTTCATTGTCTAAATTAATTTTCGTGATAAAATCTTGTTCAGGGATGAAGTTATGCCCCAAACAGATTGCTATCTCACCTCAAAATAGAAAGGTGTTTAATTGACACATAAAGCTTTGAGTTACCAGTGCATACATTGCGACGCAAAAGTCTAAATGTCGATATTTTATATCTTCAAGGTTTTTTTTCGTATTTTTAATCAGCACCAAATAGATGCATTATTGAATAGTTAGATGCAGGAAAAACATTTTCGATATCTGGATGATGATAAAGGGTTACAATATCCTTAAAAGCTTGATTAATTAAAGGTGGTTGCATGTCTCTAGTTAAATCACATTTCTGTCTGAACTAAAACAGATATGCAATGCACCATGCACTCACTGCCTTGCCCCTATTCTGGTTTATAGATGGGTATTAACTTAGGAGTAAGGTGGAAGTGGGTAATGGACATTTGATGGACTGAGATGGTGCTGGCACAGCATGTAGATACATTGTATTATGCCTCTCTTAGTTTATGGCAGAGTTAACTTAACATGTTTTATTTTCAGATGCAGCTCAACAGTATATCACCATTCCAGTCCCTGTATCACTTACCAATTCACAGGTACAAATTGAGAATTGAAGATAATTTTTTTTTCTGTATATATAGTTACTTATTGTGATTATGAAATGAGTTAATTTTAACTTTTGCATTATTATTATTATTATTTTATTTTTTTGTTGGAAGTTAAATTGAAAGTTTTAGATTGAATGAATGATGATGAAAAGAATTAAAAATTAAGGTTAACAAACTGCACAATTGTTGGTTAAATTGAGAGAATATAGAGTACATAAATACTGCTTTTTGTTTCAGAGTTTACATTCATTGCTTAATATTCTTTTCACAGTTGCTGCAGCCGGTTTTTACTCAGTCTGTATCAGGAGACTCGCCATCCACTATGACATCACACTTAGCAACGACTGAGAAAAGAAAGTAATGTGTACACATTTACCAGTATTACCATTGGGGAGGTTTATGCCAATATTGAAATTCAATGGACAGTTGGATTATAATTGGTTGAAATATATGAAGAAAGTCCAGGGTCCCTTGTATTTCCTTGGAAGGCAAAATTGTTGGAGATAACCAGTATAAGTGAAGTTGTGAACACCTACTCTTTTATAGCATCAGTGCCCAGTTACATTTTACTATATGGAGTGGGTATGTCAGTTAACCTCTACATATCCAGTTAATATGCGTGTGTGCGTGCATTCAATTCAGTAAGACTTGGTGTGAAAATATCATGACAATCCTGAATCCAAGCATTTTAATAGAATGATTGTTCCAGTAATTATGCAGTTCATCTTGTTATGCTATGCAACAGGGTTTGAGGATCTACATGCCACACATCAATCTGTAGGTCATTGACTTATCCAGGTCGTGGAGTTCAGTAAGGTTGTTGACTGATTTCAAAATAGGTTGGACAATTTGAATAGTGTTAATTATATAATGCATGTAAATAAAACTTATTAACTTTTGTATATGCAAGATACTGTAAATATTCTCAGTGAAGTATAGAGGAAATATTTGATGATGCAATTTCAAGAACCTTAGTAATATTTTATCAGAATTGAAAAAGCTTTCTTGGTTTCATCTGAAGTTTTATCATAATATGTTATCAGTTTTGCAGACTCTGTTGACAACATTTCTACTTTTTCTGATTACTTACTTACTAATCCTTTAAAGAGTTGGTTATTAACTGAGAAATTAGTTCATTATTAGAACTGATTTGTAATTTATGTAAATTTTGTTATCTGAACTACGCTGCAGATTTATTGAACCAAATTTTATATGATACAAAATGTGTGCAAAATGTCCACAAAATCAGTCTATTATTTATAATGAATGCTTACCATATAGTCTATTTGTTTATAAGTAGTTGAAATAATTGCACATCTGTTAATTTATATAGCTTATTTGTAGTTTTCTATACTGTGACTGGATTCAGAAAAGAAAGGATTATTGTAATAGGACCCAGTTCTCATATATTTCAACTCTGGTGCCATATATTATTTCTGTCTGTTGTAATGTGAGCATGTTGTATTAGATTACTTTCCACAAATTAAAAATATCTGAAGATGTATGATCATGAATACAAATATTTTGGTTGTTCAAACCACAAAGTAAGCCGTTAGGTTAAAGGTCTCTTTTGATCTCAATTGACAAACAGCATTTGAGTTTGGTAGACGGCTGCTGCTTTAGTCACAAAAAAGCAATTTACAGTGATATCAACTTTTTGTAAAGTTTCTTTTGAAATTGTGTTGCACAATTATATTATCTTATAATTCTACTTATATTAAGTGCTGTACATAAAATGTCTTAAAACATGTTTTGCTGGTTGATTTGAAATAATTTCCTTTTCGTGGTAGGTTTTGTTGAAATTTTGTATCATTCTAAATAACGATGTCTTCTCTCCAAAGCAAAAAAAAAAATTGGATTCTTGTAAAATGCTCCAGAAATTGGCTGCCACCTGTAGTTAGTACTCCAGATTGTTTGGCCATCATATGACAGTGCATTTTGACAATTGTCTTTATTTATTTGGGCATTTGTAATGAAATGGAGTTTGGGCCCAGTACCATCTTCCTGAATTTATAACAAAATACTACTTAAAACTCTCTGCTGACTAGAGTATATTTTTTTAACCATTTCAGCAAATGAGTACTACAGTAAACTTCCATAGAGTGGGAAATGGCTTTTATACAGTTGGTGATATTCATAGAAGACCAACCTTTTTGTGTAAATTATATCTATTAAATCAAATCCCTTAAATTTCCCTGATGCTCTCATTGCCAATGAGTACAGACACGATTGAAGTCATGTAAAACAAATATTTAATAAACAAATCAAAAATAACAATCATAAGTTGTTATAATTTAAGTTCCTAAAAATCAACAATACTTAAAAGGAAACTTCCCAGCTAACTTGATATGAATATGCCATAAAAACTACCATAAAAAAAAAAATTCAATCAACTGTAATAAGAACAGAAAATCTTTGATTTTATAATTCTTGGTTCAGGACGAGTGATGTATCAAAATATTTGATGACAAGCATGAACAAAGAGAGAAGGTCAAAGTTTTTCTAAATTCATGTCACAACTGCTGAATCAGCGGTTTATCAGGAATGGATGGGATAAGGGAAACTCATTCCTGGATTAATACAAGTAAGAGTAACGAACAGAAAACTCCTGGAAATCTAAATCCATTACTGTCTTTTCATTACTGAACTGGCATTTGTCAATCATGCTTGAAGGACTGCCCGTGTATCGCAACCAGTGTTTCCTTAAATGAAACAAAAACAGCAACATTGTGTGAAAATAATTTTATTTGAGATTCTATAGTATTACTATATCACATCAGCACATCAGGTGATAAGTATAAAAACTTGAACAAAACATAACTACCTTACAATAATTTTTGAATCAAAGGTGGGGGGGGGGGGGGGGGAATAGCAATCTTGCCATGCCATGATGCAGTAATAATTTATGTCAGTTGCTTTCCATTCAGAAAGAACCTTACATTCACATATATAATAAAGTGAAAGTACAAAATATATGTTAATGGAACAATTTAGCTCTTGTCAGCCCTTCTAAGTATGTAGACTTTAACAGCAAGCACTGGCAAGCAGGTGGTGACATTTTGAAACTCGATGAACAATCAACAAGTTGAGTTTAAAAGGTAAAGCCACAAATTAAAACAATCTAAGTACAAATACGGAATGTAACATTATTTTCATTGCCCTTGAGAGCCATATCAGATTTTTTGCACTGTCACACAGGAAAAGGTTAAGACAGCCGTACTTTTGCTGAGTCTCCAGACAGCACAGTATTTCAAATAAATTATCAAGATTGATGTCTGTTGTATGGTTTGGTAACTGCTGTCATTTTCTTACATTAAATGAAGAGAACTCAGTTTTTTCTATTGTCCTTTCATTTTTAAATTCACTTCTTTCAATTTTTGACTTTGGGCTGCCTGTCTTCTGAAGCCATTCTTTCCTGTGGACAAACAAGATAAACACTTCTATACAAACAATGAAACCCGTAAGAAGATTTATTCATAAAATACAGTTAAAATGAGGGAAATCTTATCAAAAAGTCAGTAGGCCAAACATTCATATCATCTATCATATGTGAAATGTGAAAAACATACGAAAGCTTCAATTATATTACAAAGACAATGACATTGACTCCTATATGTTTGGGGTTGAAGGCCTAAAATGTCGCTGCATCATTTTTGATCTCCCACTTAAAACTGTAAAATTATATTTTAAATGAATCAAAATGCTGTTATTTGCAACATTCTGCAGTTCTGTATATACTAGGAAGTTCCCAATAAAGTTTTCACAGCACTTTTCCCCAATCAGTGAAATGTTTTCCCAAACATACATGACTGTAAATAGTTTTATATGCCAGGAAAGATAACTTATTCAAATTTAATTGGCACAACATCCCGATACTTTACTCTTTTTTTAATGTCAGTCTGGTGAGGAAAATGTTTGGCAACTATGTTGAAAATAATGTTGGCATTTTTTGCTTGCCTGGCGATATCATTCACTTGTCACTAATAATTGGACAAGTCATATTGTAAACCCCTGTATATAAGAAACATGCTATTGGGGGGCATCGCAATTAGTTTTTTCTTGTCTATGTGTGAAAACAGGGGCTGGCTTTGCCATTTGGAATTGAAAATGGTGGGAAGGAGGTAGTTCTCAATTTGCAATCTGCACAAAAAAGGATGCCATCTCAAACATTTTGTGCAACAAAATCACACATCAATATTCAGACCACACCATGTGTGGTTGTTAGTCTTCACAATAAACTGGCCACTATCTGTTAGAATGATATACACCACAGCTGTAACTCAGACCTCTAGATAGTGAAAAGGGTTTGATTTGAAGGCATATGATATCAGATAGTTTTGTACAGAGATATATACAGGATTATCTGCAGAAGAGGGTGGGTTGGAGACACGAGTGTGCGAGTCAGTAAGACATAACAATGGGGGTGCAAGATACTTGTAGGTGACACACAGAGTGCATGTACAAGCATGTTAGTTTTATACACAAATAACTATAGGATTATATACCTACATTTCTTTCACTTTGCTCTCTTTGCCCTGAACCTGGCCCTTCACAGTGTTTTGTGGAGTGTTCATCACCCAGCCCACCAGACCATACTGTGTGGCAGTCTTCATAGTGTACTGAAAAAAACAATGCATTTTTTATAGACTGAGGTTGAATTGTAAGCAGCAGTTGAGACATGAAAAATACAAAGTCAACCTTTCTTAAAAATAATAAAATTTAATTTACATTTATTATATTAATAATAATCTTATAAAGATAAGATGTATAATATACTATAGATGTTGATTTATTTTAGGTCTTAAACAGATGCCAAAAATATATATTTCTATACATGTACTAGTAGTCTGGGGAAAATCAAAATCCACCTGTAAATGTTACACTGTAGAGCAGACACTGATTGGCATGTTACGTTTTCTGTTAATGTACAACAATGCATTTCTAGAAGCTATTAAAAGAAGTCTTGGAACTTTAAGTACACAGGAGTATAATTAGGAGAAAGTGTACAATTGATGTTACTATACTTATGGAATGTGTGTGAGGGTCTCCCTTTCAAAATCCATTTCTTAATCCTTTTTTGAATCTGTACAAGTACCTCTGTTTTGACAAAGGACCCAGTAAAAAAATTCACACCACTTTCTTCTGTTTTGAATTCTTTTAAGTACACTTAGTATATTTATTACATGCCCAGATTGAGTATACTAGTTTACAACAGAAAAAAATCATAAAGTATATTAGTGATTGCATTTATGGAGGAGAAAAGCACAAAATGAGATAAAGCAATGGTCTTTGTCTGATGAGTAGATTTGACCATTCTTGGAATGACCAATATGTTAATAAATTTAAGTTGGGATTTTTCTTGTGAGTGGTAAGTTAGATCATATACCCAAGTACTTATTGATTATTCCAACATGAAATGTACACCCATGCTTGTTTCTCATATAACATACAGTAACTACATGTATACCATCTTCATGCTTCTTTTATACACACCTTACGGAAGAATACACCTGTAAAAAGGAAATCATCATTTAAGATGGATGTTATAGACAGAGATTTTCTCTTTGGAAAGCATGTTTCTATCAATTACTTGTATATACAGGGTGGTCCATAAAGAACAATCTATTTTAAATTGAGATGGAAAGTAAAATATCGACCAACCAGTACATGAAAAATAATTTTATTGCCATACAGAACTTCTGCTCATAACTCAAATTACTACAACCCACGGTACAGAAACATCTGCATTTTCCTTTTAAACTCTATCCACTCGCGTTTCATAAAAATACCACTTTAATTGTTAATCTACCTTGGACTCTGCCAAACACTTCAAAATCTACTGAAATCAGCCTGCTCATACTGTCACAGGTATCAGTATCAGAATTGCAAGTTTCCTCAGAGTTCTCAGCAACGCTCGACACAAAAGGCTCTCTTAAACTCTTAGACTGAAAATTAGCTAATGTTGTCTCCTCACAAGATATACTGACAAGTTCGTATATCAGTATGAAACATAAAATAGATCTTGCGGTTCTACATAACACTGAGTAACAACCCTCCACACTCACATACATCAAAGGGCTGTTGTCGTATTCGGCGATCGACAAATTGTAATAAAACCATTGGATGATCGAAAATCTTTTAGTCCAATCAGCTGTTTATAAAAACGATGTAGGGACTTTCTGTCGGTCGAACTTTATCTTGCTTTGAATCTGCTACCCTAACGTGTCTGGCTATAAAGTTTTTTCGTCGAAATTCCAGTTACATAACGTAATTTGCAAGTATGCAAATATGATCTTGATTTTATCTGATGTTGAAGAATAGCAGTGCTCCTCAGTGCCCCCTATCGGTCTTTCAGTGAAATTACAAATCATGGCCACCACGGGATGAGCAGAGTCATGCATTTCGTCAGTCAAATCTAGAGTTTGCACTTATTGCTTAAAGATGGACGAATGGGAAGAGAGACTTGGGTTTAAACCCCAACGAGAGGATGTCTACAATAAATTACTGCCGTACGCTGAAGGACTTGACCAAGAATCAGTTGAACAACTCGCGGAAATCAAAACTCATCTGAGCCGCAGCATCCAGCTGTGTGATGTGAAAGTTGGTGTAGTGCACTGGGTTAGCCAACTGACCAAGTGAGTTGAAAATCCGAATGTTATTATTATTATAGTTTATTTGGCTATATACAGTTTATTTCTGTTAATTCATAGGTTAATTGCCTCTGATTCATTTGGTCAGCGAGAAGTTATTAGTTGTGTAACTGTAACTTAAAATTACATCTAGCGTAACGTATGTGTCCTAATATGTAATATTATTACTATATTCCACTTTCATTGCTTGGAAAATATTTTCTTTACAATGGTAGTGCTAGTGCCATTGAAGCCTGATAACTATTTTAAAATGTTTTTTTTTACAACTTATCATTTTTATTTATTGACCCCCCCCTCCCCCCAAATATACTAGTATTCCAACCACTGATTATATCTTTTGGTTTTTCTTTGAAATATAAGGGGATTTTACATTTTCATTTTTCTTTCTTATGTTGCTAATCTAGAATTTATCTTTTCCATGCTTATACTGATATAATGATATATATTTAATTTATTGGCATTGCTGACTCACTTGTAATGATGAAGCATATTTTGATGAGCAAAATATGTCAGCCCAAATTCCCCTGATTAATGGAAATAAATACCTTTATCTGAAATAAGAATAAACGGGATTGTTTGTTCACAAGTTTTTTCTTAAATGGAGCATTAATAGATTAAAAAGGTAACAGTATGTTTAGTTTATTCTGATTTATGCAGTGTCATGTTGCTGCAGCTGTTAATGTAACATGTTTACTGTTGAATTATTCCAGAACATAATTGTTTTTCAATACATGTTATCACTTTTCCAGATACATAAGATGCCACGGTTTAAAGTTTTCCAAGGAGGACCACATATGCTTCGTGAAGATTCTATTTGAGATGATTACAATACCAGATCTTGAGTTGTCATTAGTGCAGAAATTTTCAACTTTGTTCATCTCACTTTTGAAGTTAGTATACATTGTTGTGAAGTTCAAATGTGCCTTTTCAAGTATGCACTCAAACATTGTTTTATTTGAAAAACCAGTTATACATAATGCACTGTAAAGCATGTAATATTGTCAAAGAGGATGTATAAGAGAATCATTATTACTTGCCATTTAATGAATTTGAGCATATTAATAAACTATATTGATTCATGAAAAGATAGTGTTTTTCTTTGTCGTGTGATTATTAATGCATAGCTGATTTTTTTTAAATACTTGTACGTATATTCATTTTGTCCTGTTGCTATTACTGGTGAAGCTGGTATCTTAAAGAGACATTAATACAACTTATGGAATTGTTATGTAGGAAAAAGGAGTTGCTGTCCAGAGAAGATTTGGAATTACCTTGGAAACCTCTCTATAAACTAGCAGAAGAAGTGTTTTATTCTACATATGAGCCTCATGGTCTGGCTCTGTTTCCACCGTAAGTTAGATGTTAGAGTAAAAATTTCTTGTAATAGTTCTAAATAATTAAAAATTGGATTGCATTTCAGGTTTATTCCATTTAACTGAAAATGATTGTGGCTTAAAATCATTTAGGTGATCAATAAGTTATATTCACACTGTATCTTGCATTATTGACACTAATCAAATGTTCATATTTTATAGGACCATTGAATCACACATCAAAAGTGTTGTTAGGATGGCTCGGCCGTAAGTATTTTCTTAATTTATATCTAGAAAAATTTGTTACACTAAGTGTTGTAACAGAATGATCAGAGAACACCTGACATGATTTTCTTTTTAATCAGAGAAACTTTCCTGCATGATATAGATAGACCATGTTTATACTGTAGGGTAATACAAAATATCCTTAGTAAATGTACAGTGATATTGATTTTATGCAAAAGATAAGGTCCCTTTTCTCATTATCATCTGTTCTTCTCAGGTATTTTTCTGTGGAATCGACACAAGAAATGTTAGAGGAGTGGCGCCCTTTAATGTGTCCATTTGACACTACCATGGGGAAGGCAATGAAATATTTTGAGCTGTTTCTACCAACCATGCTGCCCCCAGAGCACCATGACAAAGGCTTCAGGTATTATTTTACATATATATGCTCAAAACCAGACATAGCTGAATACAGTTCATTATAAGATCATTAATGTTTCAGTCCTAGATGTGTGTTAATCCTCTTCATGTAGCAGTGAAGTAAGGTATTACGTCATCATGGCTATCTACATTTCCGTAACAAAGCATTAGTCTGACAATGTGCTTGAAATTGTATCACCAGAGTGCATAATTACCTTGTCTTTTCAGGCTGTGGTTTGAAGAATTCATGAATTTATATGACTCTGCTCATAATTCCCCATCATGGGAAGCAGTAAGTAATGTTATCTAGTGAACAGTACTTTTAATGCACTTTGAATATTATAAATGGTTACGTATATTGTAGAAGTTATTCACTATATACATATATATATATTGAATTGATACATACAGAGCTAATGAAACTGTTCTCTCTCATAATTCCTTTGTTTCAGAATTTGGTTGTGCTGTTTGCCAGACTAGCCATTCATAACACTGGATATGTAGACTGGAACCCATACTTGCCCAAGGTTAGTGATGGTTGGTGATTTGGCTAGCTGGTTTAAAAAATGTGCAAATCATCTTAAGATATTTTTTGGCTTAAACCTGTTGCAATATTTTTGATCTACTGAAACCATAGTTCCTATAGTTCAGAATTGTTGTGATTAAGACTAAACATTTTTTGTTGGAAAAGTTTAGATTGACTTCAATTTCATTTGTCTTTGTGTTTTTTGATCTCGTGTTTTTACTTGCTTTTAGATAATGACCCGCTTTCTGCGTAGCTTTGATCTGAATGTTGGTACAGCTGCAGTTCAGGCCAGTAGACCCCACAATCACTATGACCTGTCAGTTGTCACAATCTGGATATCATATCTAATGGTAGGTACATGTCGCTGTGAAACTTTTTTTAAACATCAGTATAGGTTTTTGTAGCAAGAACAACTTAATTGTTTATAAATACATATGCTTTTTGTTGGGACTAATTGCCTATCAAAAGGGCATATGAAGTGTCTCGGGAGATAATTAAATTTTTTCAAGAGTGGATGAAAAACCTATTTTACAAACAGTTTATTTGTTTTGCACATTGAGTGACAGACTAAAAGATTTTAATCTACTTGGGTGATTTAGTGTAATTTTTATATAAAATTATGATTTCTTAATGATTCTGAAGAATACGTGTAATATTTATATAAAATTATGATTTCTTAATGATTCTGAAGAATACTCTTCTTGTGTCATATTTTTAATTAACAATTTTGCCATGGTATTTAGGGAGGTGACAGTACTGTACAGGATCATCTAGAGAAGTTGTTTAGAGCCATCGAGACCTTCTATCATCCCTCTAACCATGGGAAGTGGACAGTGAGTAGCAAGTGACAGGACTTATTACAAAATAAAACAGTGTGTGCCACTTGGGTTTCATTGCCCGAAGAATGCCCTTCTTTGGTTCTGATAATTTTGTTATAATGGATCTTAAGATTTTTCTTTTTGATATTTTTTGTGTTTTAAAGAGGCATACAATGTATGCAAGTCTTTTATGTTGCAAAAAAAATAAATTTTATTGGAAATTTTGGCTGTTTTATCTTTATCACCAAGATGTACCTTATCCAAAACTGTTGAGAAAATCATTATCTATAAACCCCATTTGCAAACTCTAAAGTTTTGAGTTAATTTTTTGCTATATTAACATCTAGGGTTCATTATGTGTTTAAGTAATAATCTGGTTTTAAGGTTTGCTAAATTGTGATTTACTCTTGCAGCTGAAGCTGATGTCATTTCTGTCTAAACTTCCACTGGCAGTGGTGAAGAGGGTGCATAGGTAAGGTATACATGGCCAAGTGCAAAGTGCAAGAAAGGTTGATAAGGTTGAATCAGTACTTGTGTGCTAGGTAATGATAAAGAGAAAAATACAAGTGAGTATGGGATTTCAGTAATAGATCGTTGTCAGTCTGTGTTTATTACATATAAAAATGATTTAATCTCTCTGCAGGGAGAGGCACAAGAAGCCATCTTGGGAGCCACTGGCACTTGAGTCCCACCGACTGACAGATGAACAGATCACCAGATTTGTCAAGAGTATGAAGGATATAGTGTTCCTGGCAATGTTCAGTAAATATGGGAGCTCTGACTCAGCTGCTGCCATGCACAATCTTGCTCTTCTAAGACCAGAACTCATTATACCTTCTTTGTTGGAGCAGTAAGTTGATCCCCTATCATAAGAAATATTTTGAGTTTTATTTCATTAATGCTATGAGGTATTGACCACAGGACATTTTTCATCAAGGATAATATATCAAATATGGCCTATAGTTTAAAAAAAATGTTAGCGGTTTATGGTGGCCAAGTGCTTCCCCTTGTTCTCTTGTTTGTAGCATGTCTGTTCATAGGATACTTGTGGGTTCGACTTCAACAGTTCAAACATACCAAAAAATATTAATGTTAATAATGACATCTTTAATATTTCCAGGTTATATCCATCTTTAGAAACACTGACAGAACCCCACCGCCTGACTGCATGTATGAACTGTTTGAATGCAGTGGCCCGCTCCATGCTGTCCAATACCAAGTGGTACCCTGACGGCAGGAACCACTTGTTGCCCATATTGAATCTCAGTCTGCCAGGCATTGACCCTAATGATTTCAAGAAAAGTCTGGTAAGATCACAGACCATGAGTGTGTACTGGTAACTGAAGATGACTAAATAAGATAAGATAGATGAAGTATTTGAGATTGTAGACATGCGCTAAATAGGCTGTTAAAAAGTTTCATAGAAAAACATTTTTACTTTGCATTATTTTTTTTGCAGGTGACTTTTCAACTTCTTTCCACATTTACTGCAATGGTTCCCTTTGTGGACTGCTCAGGGGCTTCACAGCAAAGACAGGATTTAGATGAGGTAGAAAAAAGATATTGCAGATTTATATTTTCAGACAGGATTCTTAGTGGGGAAAATGAAAGGCATCGTATAGTGTTACGCTCTACTTTCAAAGTTATTTTTCCAGTTGTGGTAGTGACAAGAAAGAGGTTTTTGACATATACAAAGGGGGTTGTGTGTGTTTTCAAAATCTTTCCATATATCTACTGTGTGTCAGTTGTCTGTCAGACAATTTTAATTTGACATTTGTTTACTGTTTTAGAATGAAATGGAGCTTTGCTCTGCCACTGCCCAGTTTGAAGATGTGGTACTACAGTTCTTAGACAGGTGATTAAAGCAGAAACATATCAAGTAAAAAGCACAATGATGTGAAGGCTTTTGATAGTTTTCTGAATGTTCGTGTGTGTAATTTCAAATATTATACTTTAAAGTGAGAATCCTGTTCTGTTAACATTTTTCAATTGTTTAACAAGCCTTAGGAAAAAAACTTCTGTTTTTAATTTTAGGGCCTTTGCAGTGATTGAGATGAACACTACAGAGGTCAGCAGTTCCAGGACTGGAAGTTTGTCAGAAGTGCGCCTGAATCCCCAGGAACTGATGATCAAAGTTGGCATGTTTTCTACTGTCAATGCAGTGTTTCAACAGTGCTCAGGGCCAATATTTGATGTAAGTTTATCTCCCTACGTGGAAATTGAGTTTTGTACTGTTACTGAGTATGACGATTTGCATATTCAGAAATATCTTACATCTCTTAAGGTATCTGTTATGTAAATGATTTCAGCTTGCAAAATATGTTGATGTCCTGTTTTTCATTTTTGTTACAGTCAGTTCTCCATAAACTGTTCAATTATGTGAGCTCTAGTCTGTGTGAGATCCGTTTGGCTGGGAGATTTGTTGCAGACTTGATAAGATCAGCAGCTAGGGTGAGTGGAAGGTCATCTCTGTTTTATCATGGACAAATTGTTTAAGAATATGCAGCTAAATTTATGATTTTTGTCAAAAAAAATCTATTTTGACATGAATGTTATTATGTAGAAAAGATAAAAATGTTAGAAATACATATTTAAGAACTTGAATTTAAAGTGATTGAATTTATAAAGAACTCTGGTCTGAAAAATAGAACTAAATATTTTGTGTACACAAAGGTTAGTTTTGGAAGGGTTAGTTTTGGAAGTGTTTTATATTTATAGGCAAGTCCAGTGAAGACTTTGAAGAAGTTTGTGCCCTTTTTCTGTAGGAACATCAAGGAATTAACAGAGAGTAAGTCAAAAGCAAACTTTATAGTAAAATATTAATCAAATGAGGTCTTTAGAGCTAAAAAGTTTGATCATTACTTAGCTAAACTTTTAGATTATTGAAAAGCATAATGAGAAGCTGAAATTCCTTTCTTGTGCCATGTTTAGCTTGTATAACTTGACTAACGCAAATGTTTTTAAAAAATTAATTCTAGGTGATGATGTTCAGAAAGAAGAGCATTTAGACGATTCTTTGCTCTTTAATCTGCAATTATTATCAGAGGTAACAATTTTTAGATAATTTGTTCCTTTTGGAATTTACCACTTCACAACTAAAATATTTCATCATCCTTTATTGAAATAATTGTAGGCTATAAGTTTGCCAGTTAATGCAAACCCCTAATTTTCATCTCTAGGATTTTAATTGTGATAATATTTGTCAATAAAAAATACCATTTATACACATTCATAGATTTTTAATAAAACTTGACCATGTGAAAAAAAAATTCCAGGTTGTTCGTTGCGATGGAAAAGCTTTTTTACCATTTAAAGAAGATCTTCTACACATACTGAAGAAAAGTCTTCACTTGACATCTAAACCTGGCTATGAACTGGCCAGAAACCTGTTGACCCACCTCTTGAAAGCACTGACCCTCATTTACACTGTGGACTACAGAAGTGTGACAAAAGATTGGGATGCTCCTCTGGCTGAATATTTGCCTATTAGGGTAATGATAACATGTAATTGATTTGGAAGTAAGCTTGAAGGAAAGAGATTAAAACAGACAAATTTGATTCAGTTTTCAACTTTTCAGAAAAAAAACTATTACATTCATTACCAGACTTTGTGCCAACCATCATTGCACCTAAGATTCCCTAAATAAAAGAGGTTGATACATTCACATTCACATAGTGTGAAAAGACAAAAAAAAGGAGAGAGAGAGAAAAAACTTTTATCCCTATTTCAGGATTGGGCCAAACCTGGTGATCTTGACAACATGGGTGTGGAATGGCATGTCCCCTCTGAGGAAGAGATGGAGTTTGCCAAGCAACTACTGGAAGACTGTCTACTTCCAGAGCTACACAAACTGGAGCAGTTCTGTAATGGACAGAAAATGGACAGGTATGAATCATAAAAAATGTGTAATATTGAATAGTGAAAAATATTAAGTTTTGATGTAGGATTCTGTTTTAAACTGAACAGGTAGGGAAAAATCTACCCTTTGATAACTCTAGATAATAAACCATGTGCACTAGAACTGGTGAAAAAGTTTACAATGTACAATTTTTTAATTTGACTTCAAAGTTCTTGTCATAACAGAAATATAATTGCAATTATTGCAGTAAGTGTTACGTGTTTTTCAGGCAAGAAGTGATTTGCAGTCTTGGAATTGTTCAAGAGACTATATCTGGCGCTGGAAGTGTATTTTCTCCTCTTTTAGGAAAGCCCATTCAGTTGTAAGTATGGACTCAAAACTGACAGTACTAAATGATTTATATTATTGAATTACATTTCATTAGCTGATGTTTTGCACTTTGTTTTTGACAATTATTAAATAATTGAGTTGAAATGTTTTGATAGCATTTCACTTGTTCAGAACATAAAGCTGTGGCTGGTACAAAGATTTATGTATTTAAATTAAGAAATTTTGAAAAGTATCAACAGTTTTAATATTAAAAGAAGTTTTAATTTTGGATGAAAAGTACTTTTCACTGACAAATATTTTTTCAGGGCTGAATCTGAAGTGCCATTACGCAGATTCAAACACATATGTGGATTTGAAAATCAGGGTGGGTTCATTACTAGACTTTGCCATAGATGATTAAAAACTTATATATGATATATTAGGTATTTGTATATGTTAAAGTATTTACAAGATTTATTAGATAGTTATTTATAAACCTTTATTAAATTATTCACTTCAGAATCTTTTTATTTTATAGTTGTGAAACTGAATGGGGAAGAAGTTCGGCCACTCATCCTTAGAACAGTAAAAAGGGTACTGGCTCATATTTTATCTAGCCATGAAGATGATACTAAAAGTTTATTTCATATTATACAGGTAATGTGCATATATAATCTTAGTGCTAGTTTCCAATATTTTTTTTTGTCTCATAATATTATGGAGGTAATGATTTTTAAAAGTTTTTAAAGAAAGATTCCTGGGAAGAAAACTAGATGCAGACAAAGGCTCCTATTTCTAAATCAATTAAAGAAAAACACAGGAATGAACACACAAATAAAAGTATGGGATGCAGCAAGAAATTGGACACTGAAACTGCCATCATAAGTCGCCTAGGGTTGAATCGACCATGGGACCAGACAGACAGACAGACAGAAAGTTTTTGAAACATGAAGCAAGTGCAGGTCACAATGAATAATGTATAGAATATAACTATAAAATGCAATTACTATAAAAAGGCTAATAACTTTTCAATTGAGCTGTCGGTTAAAAAGTCCAGTTAGTGGTAGTGATGATAATGTAGTGTAATTGAAATGATAATTCTTATTTTTCAGATCTACAATCTGTTGCTGTTTTATAATGGGGAATGGAAAGAAGAATTTGAAGCAAGATGGAGGAGCTTCCATATTGTCAAGAAAGCAATGGGGAACAAGGTATGCAAACAGAATAATCATGTTTTAAATTCTAGGAATGCAAAATATGCATTGGTGTTTTGCATGTTTGGATATTTTGATGTCATATTCCTTTGGATGATTTTGAAACATAAGCTAACAGATGAAACAAGTTAAATTGGTAAGAAATGTATTTTGGAAAATAATAAGCATAAAGAGTCTTTCATTAAAAACATTCTTTTTGAAAATGTATATTTTAGCTTCAAGGGAAAAAACAACATCTGAGAGCAGTGCTAGTGGATAGACTGCAGTTGCAACATGAGGTTAGTTTACTTACCAATTAAGGCCATTTATTTCACAAATCTGATTTTTACATTCTGTCTTCACTCTTTTTATATACTGTTATCTCAATATATCGTTATGTAATGCTTGCAGTGTTTAAAACTCTTTTCTTGATTTGATGGCATCTTTTTGTTATTGTTGATAAAAAATCCACTCTTTAAACTTCTAGAGTAAAGTGTTGCCATTCTACTCTCTGTTTTATCAAATGTTGATGTTGTTTTGCAGTGGCGCATGCTGAATCGTGTGGACAAAACATTTACGGATCTTCACAAAGAAATCTTTGATGATTTACTGACACTGTCTGTTAGTAGATACAGAGAGGTGAGACATGATACCCTGTAATTTACTTGTAGAGGCTATTAAAAAAAAACAAGATAAAAGTCAGAAAATGTTTCCCATTTGATTACATCATAACATTTATTTAATTTATTAGTTTTATGATGGATATATGACTAAGATCACTCTAGACATACATAATGTTTTATACTTGGACTAATATAGGTAAGACAGAAGGCACAAGCAGCAATTACCAAAGGCTTCAATTTGTTTACCTACTCGTACAAGCTGTTCTTGTCTGACATCCTAAAATATCTCAAGGATCCCACAATGGAGCACCATCAGTTCAAGGTGGGTATTTTAAGTCCCAAACTGATTGGAATGAGGCAAATGTGAATTAATTAAGATACCAGGATATATAATCTAGTTGGCACTGGGCAAAAACCTAAGTACTATCTATATCACCTTGTAATAGCATTGTTATCATCTCTGGTCTGAATCCCTTGTAAGAAAAAATGTTAAGGTCTTCAGATTTTATGTCTGTGCCAACCCCATAGCATGTGGAATGACATGCCACTGACTATATTTTTGCAAGGTAGACAAATGGCTTCTTTGACTATAGCAGGGATTCAAATTTCCACTAAAGTACACTTGATCTTATCATTTAATTCTTTCTAAATTCCAGGGTGGTCTATACCTGGTGCTGGGGACAGTGGACAAGAGGTGCCTTGCCACCAAGAGAAGCTGGGAGATTTTGAACCAGATATGGCCAGTCTTGGTCCAGGCTCAGCACTCTGAGAAACCATCTATACTGAAGCTCATCGATGATATAGCTGACAAAGTCCACAAACACCTCACCACTATATCTGTTAACATACAGGTAAAAGTGTTGATTGCAATTACAAGTAACTCTTTTAAGCTATGGTAATAAGTTCTTTTAACTAGATAGCTGTAATTCTTGAGCTCAGTAAAATATACTTTTAATGGCTGAGAAAGGGCACCAGGAACGTTGTGTTCAGTGTTTATCAGTTATTATCATTTCAGTGTTCATTTTTAAATATCTTTTGATATAGCTAGCTTTCTGGAGTATTAAGACACAAGTTTCACAATTTTTATTTGAACAAGACAACTTTATAATATAATACTTTACGCTCTCAGACTGGTACTAATGTTATGTGCATGTGTCATCATGATCCAGTATGTATGTGTATATATATCTGTTTGTATATGTATTTAATATGAATCAAAGATAAAAAAGATTTACATAATACATCCTACATAGAGTATGGAATAAAATCTTAGTAATTTTAAATCTTACCAAAAAATATAAATCAATCTTTTTATTCCCCCAGGTACCTCCCCATTGTTTAGAAGTTGCCCAGTTGCCCTGGAGCACCCAGTCACCAAAGCCAGTACTGCCTCCTGCCAACTCCGAGGAGATGAAGCATGGACTAGAGCAGCAAGAGGAGAGAAATAGCTGCTATACACAGTACGCTGCTGATAGTTTATAGTGCACACTGATAAGTCTGTGGATTTTTTTTACTGCCATTTGATGTATTTGTAATGAAATGACTGGGCGTTATTTTGTATCTGCTTATGCTTAACTGAGATGAGAGCAATGCAGGAAGTGAAAAATGCAGGACTTGAGGTATTAATCCAAAAAAAAAAAACACCATTATGTGAGACATAACGATATCTCTTGTAGATTTTTTTACAAAAAATGCTTAGTAATTCAAATTGTTTCTCTTTTTAGGCAATACTATAAACTGGTCAATACCCTGGTTGAACTTGTAGAGGGAGGTACATTGTAAGTACTGAAACAAACCTTTGTTCTGGTGTAGATGAAAAACTAAACATGTTGGCTAAAAACTAGGTTGACATTGATATCTTATTTGAAGCATATATTGATTAACTATGAAATGGCCGAAAGTCTATTCTGTAAACTTGATGTGTGTTAATTTTACATATAAAAATTACTTTTTATAGGCGATGGAAATTTTACCAGATTGCAATGGAGCTTTTAGCCCTCATCATCAGGCATGATGCCAAGTTGCCTCAAAGTGCTGTCAACCTCTTTGTCAAGAACATGGCCAGTGAGACGTTGTTGATTAGAAAGGTATAACATTCAAAACTGGTACAAACTTCAACCAAGAATAATGCAGCTCTGACTTACATCACCAGAAGATCATGCTCTCTAAAATTGGTTTTCAGTACAAAGTTTTTGTTGTTTTTTGTGAGCTGAGCTATTCATCCTGGTATAATAGATTTGAATTCTGTTCCAGCTTTCTTTGGGTGCAGTGTCTTCCATTCTGAAGCAACAGAAGAGAAAGCATCCGCGCATGGTAATAGATCCCTTTGCTGTTAGTGGCTGTGAACAGCCTAGCAATGGACATTCTTTGCCAGGAGATAGCAGACTGGACAATGCATGGCTGCAGTATCGGTCAGACACACGTCCAGATACGCTGGACAAGTGGGAGAAGACAGTGTTTGTGGACAAAACACATTGGGGATACTACTGCTGGCCAAAGTGAGTACATAGGGTTTTTTTTTATTATTATTATTTTATTTTAATATCATTGAATATTTCTTGTATGGACTACACGATATGCTTATTTGAATAACAGTTAAAATTTTTTTATTTAGGAGTATGGCTATGACATGAAGCAACCTAAAAAAATATGGTTTCAGTTCATAATTACTGTAACTTAAAGTTTATTTTGGAAATTGACATTGGATTTATATCAAAATCTTACTAGATTTTGTAGCCACCACAGATGAATCAGTATTATTTTGTACATCTACTGCAATTTTTCATTTTTTTTCCCAGAAATATGGAAGTATACGCTCCATGCTCACAGCAGCCAAAGTTAGGGAGAAAGAGAGAAGAGTTGGAACCTGAAGAGCAACCCATATATGATCATTTTACTAGACAAGACTTTGTTGACAAGATGCTGGGGTTTCTATCTCTAGAAGAAAATAAAGGAAAGGATAAATTTTCTACCAAACATTATACTCTTTTCAAGGTAAGAACTTGATTAGTGTTCCAAAATAAGATATGAACATAAATTATATATTTTAGAAAGAAACATCTCTGGATTTACACATCTGTTTTAATGTATGGCATGCTTGAAAATGTATTGTCAATTCATTGATGTTTTGAAGTTTATGAGATACCATATTTTCTCTCAATCTCTTTCAGGGATTGTTTAGGAATTTTGATGATGCCTTTCTGCCATATCTTAAACCACACATTGAGAAGCTTGTTGCTGATACGAGTCATGATGGTCATGACAGCAGCCAACGCTGTGCTGCTGAAATCATTTCTGGGTTGATTAGAGGCAGCAAACACTGGACTTTCGACAAGGTGAGGTCAATTTTTAGTTGGACTTAGTTTGCACATTTAGAGTTGAGAGCAAAAAAAACTGGAAAAGATGGAATTCTTATTGTTAAACAAGAATGTTACTAGTACGGAAAAGATTCTTCAAAATAAACATTGTTTTGATTGGTGTTTCAGAACCACCATCAAACACAAATTATGATAAATGACAGAACATTTATTTCATATATGATTTTGCATGTTGTTTCATAGGTATCTTCCATGTGGGAATGGTTGGTTCCAGTTTTAAGATTTGCTATCAATAACATGACCACAGAAAGTGTGACTGACTGGGGCACTTGTTTTGCTACAGCATCAGTAAGTCATTATACAAAACTGATTACTAAGAAGTGTAGATAGTGTTAATATTTGGATTTTCTAAGTATGAATCTAGCTTGTATAGATATATGGAAAGCAATTGCAGCACTTTACTAATAATATTGTTTTGGTCATGAATAAAGAAATTCATGAATTTAAGCAAGCATATTTTTCAGTATTAGAATTTAAGATTTTTCGTAAATTTTCCATTTTTGAATATGTATTTGTAGCTGTCTTCTGAACTTTCAGGAAAGTCGTGATCCGAGAAAACTCCATTGGCTATTTGAGGTTTTGATGGAGAGCCCAATAAGTGGTGCTGGAGGGTCCTTTGGAGATGCAAGGTCAGTAGTAAATTACTTGAATTTGATATACATTTTGAATATGAAAAAATGGCCTTCCTTCTTTCACCTGTAAGGTAAAATATACCTATTCTACAGGAATACTTGAGCATGCAGTATGGCTTGTCAAAATGTCTTACTACGCCTGTTAGACAATGACAAATAGTTAGTGAAAAGGTGAAAATTAAAGGAATGAAAGCCACTTAAAGATTTCAGTTTGCCAGTGCTTCTCAAATATACTTCTATTAAACAATAAGAGAAATCTCCTAGTCATAAAGAAAAGATGCTAATTTAAAAAGGCTCAAAATGAAAGTGATTTGAAGTTTGCATTTTGTGGATACTTTACTTTTTGTTGCAGTCGTTTGTACGTACTTCAAGGTGCATTGGCACAACAAGAATGGCGTGTTGCAGAGTTGCTACATAGGCTTATAAACTACCTCATCCCTCATCTGAAACACCCTTACAAAAATGTCCGAGATAGGATTGGAAGGTGGGTCTTAAGGGCAGGGGTTTCTCTTTTTCTCCTGTTGTTTGCTGTGATAGCACCAGTTAAATGGCATGCAGTCACAGGGCTATTTCAAGCATATTTGACATCTAATCACAGATGATGATTATATGGAATATACTTTATATTTCTTTAAATACACAAACTGAATTTTAATATCAGCTTGATTGGTTTATTTTCCCCCAAGAAGTTTTGGCACATTTTGTGGTGTTTTGAAATCCTCAGAGTTATTGAAATTTCTGTTTTAGTATTCAATATTTAATGGAATGTTTGTATTGAATTGAAGTACTAAAATTTTTCTGTTTGCTGTCTGTACATTTGTTAGCTTTGCTGAAGTAGTTTATAAGATAAATATATAAATATTTTGAATGTTTTCAGTGTTCTCACTAGTATAAGTGTGTCTGACTATACTGTGCCACATGGCCTGCCAACAAGGTGCCCACAAAGGAAGGAATTCATAGAGGGTTTCTTGCCACAGCTTGAGGTGCTAGAAGATGTTGAAGATAGCCCACCTCTCTCTATAGCAACTACAGAGAAGATGGAAGTGGACAAAGCAACAGGTAAACAGAGTTGTGATGACTTTAGCAGAGTAGAGAGGTATTACTTGTTTTGGGGGTTATAAATTAAACAGTTGAAGTGTATTACTTTGGTGGTCAGTGATCTGATTTGTCTTAAACATTCAATCATGTTGTTTTTCATGGTCCATTTTGTTTGTTGGCCAAATAAAGTATGTTAGACATATGATTTGTGATTGTAAGTCTCTGTGGCTATGGGCTCATCACTTGTCCAAGTTGTCCCTTATCTCTGAAATCACAGAGTGACCCCAAGGTTTAGGTCCATAGTTTATTATAAAACAAAATAAGAGATGAAAAAAAATCACTGAAAATAACAATTTACGCCTTTTCTCAGCTTTAGTCCTGAAAGCAACCTGTCATGATATATATAACCAACCATGAGATTCAGATTCAGAAGTATATTAGAACATACAACTATAGTAATTTAAAAACAAGTTGTGCTGCCAATGCAATCACTGGACACTCATGTTGTGACAATAGAGCTAAGTTATTATGTACAAAATGCAGCATAAGATGTAAGAAATAATTAAAAATTTAGATATTTGTACTAGTACTCTTCAGCACTTTATGATGTATACTGCTCAGTTTGATATGTGACCTTTCGCAATAAATAATGGCCACATGTCCTGGCATATAAATCTTCCTGTAGTGCATGACAGAAGTATTACAATAAATTTAAAGTAAATATACACAGAAAATAATATAAACTACATGCCCTGACAGTAGATACAAGTGTTTACAGTGAGAGCAAATCTGAGACTTGCACAAACACACTCAAGGAAGAAGCAACCTTGTCCATGAAAGACGCTACTCTCTATGAATGAAAAGGAGGATAACACAAGTCTCCCAATATCTATGTTGGAGCAGATTGACACACCTGTTGTGGTATATGATATATTTTTGCATGTAGTAGACTAAATTACAATAATTTTTCCAGATGATGTCACGCCCGATGAAAAGATGGAAGTGGATGATGAATCTGCGGCAAATAATCATGTCAAAGAAGATGCAGATATTGATGATCCAAGGAAGAGTGCCATCAAACTCTGTAAAACAGGTTAGGGCATTCATGCCAATCCCTGCAGTAAAAGACCCATCTGTCTGTGGCATATTACTGTGATTAAATGCATATCTGACAATTATGCATATTGAACAAAGATGTCAGCTTTAGAATCTTTGATGTGAGTGAATACAAAATTTGATCTTACTGTATTAAAATTAATTTTCATCTTTTAGTAATGAAGTATGTCCAGGGGAACTTGAGTCGTATGTTTCACTGCCAGTCACCAGAACAGCTCAAACTTTTGCCTGTGGTAAGGCCTTGAAAGTACTTAGAAGTATATAGAAAATGCTATTTGTGAATCATTGATATATTGTATGAATTACTACATTTGGCTATACAGTGAGTGATGATGAAGGATGCTGTCAAGAAAATATGGACCAATCATCTCACTTCTGTGAATACATTAAAGATGAAATTTATATGGGTATAAAATACCACAGTTCTTTCCAAAATGTAAATAATATGTCTTTTGTTATTATTATTATTATGTGCAATATATTGTATTTGTTTTATTTTATATACTTTTTAGATTGCTCCTCTGAATAGTGTGACTGGGGATGATGATCTCAAACGAGAGACCAGTGTCACTTTAGCATGTATGGCTCAGACATATATCCCACCTAAAGACATAAGCTTAGCTTTAGCTATTGCTAAAGAGGTAAGGCTAGACAGCATTTCTCTCCTTAAGCTATGTCCTCCCATCTTTATCATGCCATTTTAGATATTTTGAATAATCTTCAAAATAATTTCAGGTTTAGAAATCTTATTTAATTCTGTAAAATTGCAAATTGAAAAAAAAAATTACACTTTTGATGAGGTGTTTTAAGTCTCTTTTTTGTTGCAAAATTCTTTAAAAGAGGACCTGGCTTCACTTTTTTCTGTCAATTGTTCACTGATGAGACTTTTCCGACTTTTGTCAGAATTCTGACTTTTTCAGGGTCATTTCGGTCCTTCTTGTGAATCGTGTACCCTGGACCCCTGGCCAATTTTCCTACTTTTTCAGTGAGGACTGGTCCGTACCTGATTGTTGCTCAACTATCAATCCTGTTTAACATCTTTTATTTTAGGTGTCTGGTCTGAAGTCTTGGCATGCCAGGTCAGCCATCTTGCAGTACATACAGGTCATGGTGTTCAGCAACCTGTTCAATCTTCAACAGCCTGAATATAAAGAACATGTGAAAGAACTAGTGCTGCACTTGCTATGTGATGATCAGCTAGAGGTTAGAATTTTAACAGTGTGTTTTTGTGTGTGGATGCATGTATGCNTGTTACACATTTTACTTACATTGGTATTACCTGTTGAGCATAATTTAAATTTGATGTTGAATTTGCAGTTTAACATAATTTACTTTTGCATCAGAATTGACAGTAGCCTATTTTCTGCATAGTTATTGCCTGTTTTTTTGTCTGTACATTTGACAGCTTTGCTGACTTGTTCAGGGTCATTTCGGTCCTTCTTGTGAATCGTGTACCCTGGACCCCTGGCCAATTTTCCTACTTTTTCAGTGAGGACTGGTTCGTACCTGATTGTTGCTCAACTATCAATCCTGTTTAACATCTTTTATTTTAGGTGTCTGGTCTGAAGTCTTGGCATGCCAGGTCAGCCATCTTGCAGTACATACAGGTCATGGTGTTCAGCAACCTGTTCAATCTTCAACAGCCTGAATATAAAGAACATGTGAAAGAACTAGTGCTGCACTTGCTATGTGATGATCAGCTAGAGGTTAGAATTTTAACAGTGTGTTTTTGTGTGTGGATGCATGTACGGTAATATGCCAAACAATTCGACCAAGATTAATTAATTAATTTCATGGAAATGTCAGTTTGGTCGAATTGATTAAAATATAGCAATGGAAATCTTTGATATCGTCGGATTGTTAGGGGCATCTGCCAAAACGTCCATCTTACCGGAAGTATTGCATTTTACCGGAAGTGTAACGCAAGATAAGCCGCAATTTTCACCTAACACGTGTTTCAAGCACGTTTTATCCTCCTTGAGGAATTTTATTTTGCTGTGTACAATATGTGCTAACATAACTTGAGATTCAAACAGACGACAGTTCATAATTTCTATCTATTTATTTCCCTCACCGACGATCACTTTCATGACGCGCTTCACAAGTGGGACGCTTTTTCCCCCGGAAACAGGTGTTGTAAACAGTGCCCGGTCACTTATATTTGAAACCGGTAGCTTTAGTGGACTTAAACCAGTTATGTGATCTACATACGCCCTATTTGAATTTTAATACGTCGACTGAAATCAACCAAATTGAGATATATTTTTTACCAGTCTGAGATCAGTTGTTTTCAACTCGCAAGGCTTGCTCGGCGTAGACGTACGCATTTCCGAAGAAAATTCAATCACCCTATCAAAGAATACCAAGTGATACTCAAACGGAATTCTGTGTTACTTTAAATTAATTTTCAGTATTTAATTTAAAAATCATGTCATATTAAAACATATTCAGAAAAGGCAATCTACGGAGCCTACCTGTGCCGATAGACATATCTTGTTGGCACTCTTCCGATTTTCTTACATATATAGGCCTACACTCGCTGTGCACAAGCCATGGTGCATATTGAAAACCCCACTGATACAACCCAAACGTAAATTAAGCATTTAATTACCATAATTTACACAAAACAGAAACATTTATAATTTGACGTGAGAATTGAGTAAACGCAGAAATGAGAGACTGTATCTGGTCTCTCCAGCATACCTAGCGCAAACCACATGTTAATGAAGACGGTCCCATTGTGGGGGAGGGGGGTCACAGGAATTGAGTTCTTCACGGATTGCGCTAAATGATATCAACGTTTCATGCATCTGGGGAAATAAAAAATGACTCACAAGTAACGTAAAAACCCAGTGGAACTCTCTGTGAAGCTCCGCTTTTCACCGCCATATAAGTTACTGTTTTTTTCTAACAAGGAAGACGTCATTTTTATTGTTGACTAAACGGTTATCCATGTCGGTGAATAGCTACACGCGTTCATCAGATTTTGACAGCGCGTGGTATTTGGCGCCAAGAAGTCTAGGCAGTCGATCTCACTGATCTTTCAGTCAACTGTAGTAAATGTAGGATCTCGCAGCATTGACTTCAAGAACGTTTCCCCTGCATATATATTTCAATCAAACTTGAAAACAAATTCCTTATTCTTCCCAAAATTGTTATTGCTAGCATACTCCATGTATGGTCTATATGAAAAAGTTTACTACATATCCCACCCACTGTCGACATTTNGGTCATGGTGTTCAGCAACCTGTTCAATCTTCAACAGCCTGAATATAAAGAACATGTGAAAGAACTAGTGCTGCACTTGCTATGTGATGATCAGCTAGAGGTTAGAATTTTAACAGTGTGTTTTTGTGTGTGGATGCATGTATGCACTAAGAAATTTCAAACACCTCACTCATTCCAAAGGTGTTTCAGATACATGAAGTGTGGTGTGCTTAGCTGGCCTTGCCTCCTTCAAGACTACTGTATTATCACATCTGATAGGTCATTTCTGATGAAATAGGACATTGTAGTTACTATAAATTGTTATATGTCTTAAATTGTTCTAAATTTTGAGCTCAAGTACTGTTTTAAATAGTGCAGATTTAGATTAATCAAAAAAAGAGTAATGTTTTGCATTTCCTAGGTTGAATGTTTGATCAAAATGTATATTATTTATATTCAGGTGCGAGAAATGGCTGCTGTAACATTAGGAGGATTTCTTCACTGCAAATACTTTGACATAGACCATGATTTGCTGCAGCATTTTGAGAAGCTTAGTAGTACAAAACTGAAGAAAAAGCGACGTCTCTCTGGGCCATTGTCCTTGGAAAACTTGCTAAAGCGCCATGCTGGAGTTCTGGGACTTAGTGCTTGTATACAAGCCTATCCATATGATGTTCCTGGATTCATGCCACAGGTTTTAATGGACCTTAGTGACCATGTGGATGACCCACAACCAATTCAGGTGTGTAAACTCTGAAAAAAAACATACTTTTACCATGATTTCAGTCTCATTGTTTACTATCATGTTAAACATATGTATGTTGGTGTGCAGGTCTCCCTTTTTATTATGATATTGAGAAAATGTTGTTTAAACATATTTTTTTCAACAAAGTCATTAAATTATAAGTTACAAGGTCTCATATTTTTGATTTTCAACAAACAAACTCCTACAATTTTCAACAAACAAACCCCTACTTTCTTAAAACATTTCAATGCTCATTGAATACCATCAGTCAAATAAAATGCCTCAATGGTGCTAGTGGAGGTCTCCAACGTGTTTGTAGAAAGTGTAAACATAAGAACTTACAACAGTTTGCCAAACAGATGAACTTATTTCAACATAAATCTCCTATAATTGCTTACAACAAAATTTTCTGTCCATATAAATTCAAATTTGTATTGTAGGTTAAAGCAAATTTCTATTGCAGTCATAACATGTTTTATTAAACAGAAACATTTTGTTTCCCAGATGACTGTAAAGAAGACTCTCTCAGACTTCAGGAGAACCCACCATGACAACTGGATGGACCACAAGCAGAAGTTCACTGATGACCAACTTGTGGTACTCACTGATCTTCTGGTTTCACCCAATTACTATGCTTGAGGCAGGACACAAAAACAGTTTCCCACCTTCCAAGGATAATTACTTTTTATAAACACAAATTATTACTAATTCAATGAATTTATTGAAAGTTTGGGCAATTGGTCATGTTATTCAAGATTTAATAAGGGTGTAATAGGGTGTTGTACTTTAATCCAACATTAAGCAATATTGTTATTTATTTATTTATTTTAGGTAAAAAATAACCACATCATTCACAGCACAAAACCATTATGTATGGATCAATATGTAAGACTTGTGTAGGTCTCTTGATAACATGTCATACCCATGCATAATAAACAAAATATGATAGGTATTTGAAGAATGGCTGCTTTTAAGGATTAATTTACAGAAAATCTTTTAAGTTCTTTAAGAGACAGTCTTCGTTCATCTTTGTTTGTCATTGATTTTAGTTACCTTCAATTTATAATCTCATGCAATGAGATGGAAAGTTATGGATATTAATGCAAAGGCATAACAACCATAAGCTGAATTTGATCCAAGAAATAATTTCATTATTATTATTGAAGAGAACTCTATATAAAGTAACCATTGTAGAAACATACCTGATTTTTTTCAGTGTTGGTTTTAATTGGCTGTTTATATGAAACAGCAGATAACATTTTTTGAAAATCCCTCATTGTATTCTTGGTAAGAATTTTTAAATATTATACCAACCCTCATTAAGACCAGGGTATCCAATCAAGCACATCTGTTAAACATTGAATATATTCATATAATCACTCAATGGTGAAAGTCTCAAGTGATAAAATAGGAGTGCCAGAGACAAAATTAATTGAAGAACATGTATGTCTTAATTCTGAATGTTTATTATACACATTAATCAGACTTAACAGCATATTGTTAAAGTTGGCAGAAAGGTATGGATGTTTTGGAGCAATGTTATTTGAATAGAAGAAGAGACAAAAAAATGGAGTCCAAGCTTTATTATATGTTGTTGGGAGTTGCCATTACGTGCACTTATTGTCTGTTAATCAAGTTAACCGAACAGTAATAGATATTTTACAGCAAGTTAACAGACTAGAAAAAGATTTGATGGCAAATTTACAAGAAAAAAAGTAAAACATACAAATATTCATTTTGTTGTTGTTGAGTTATGTGCATAAAAGGAGTCAGAAAATTGTTATTTTTCAGTGGTGGATTTTTTTTTTGGGGGGGGGGTGGAGGGTCCTGACCCCTCCTTTGGTTTCTGGGAAAAAATCGCACCAATATTCCCCTCTTGATATTAGAATTTTGAAGAGCTAAATCATAGTAAACTGTTCTAAACTGCACCAAATGGCACCGTTTGCCCTCCAAAACACCGAACCCCACACCAAAGGGGCAAGAGCCTACTTCGCATCTGAGGCCTGTCATTCTTTAAAAAAACTGCCCCCCTTCCCCTTCAAATAATTCTAGATCCGCCACTGTGCTTCTAGTTTGGTTATTGCACAACACGCTCAATGTGACAGGTGCGACAGCATCGCGAACGAGGCATTACTGCGGAAAATGTGAAAAACATCACCGACACTGCCACCTAGCGGCAATGACGCAAGCAACATACTGGTTGTTGGAATTCGCGCCAACGGGATCGCGCATTTCTGTCAGGAAATTTTCGAAGATTGCAAATTATGTGTTCGTAAAATTTCGCAATATTATATAACGAACGAGAGGAACTATTTTCACAGTCGTCGTACGGAAATAATTTTAAATTAAAAGGGAATTCCTAGAGTGACCTAGATCTGAAAAGCCAATATGGCGGACGAAGCTGATGATGCCGTGCATATGATTCCTGGACAAGGTATTGTTAACCAGCCAGATATGATCACGGAAGGGGTTGTAAACGAAAACGACGGGGAAGAGGTAAATGAGGATATTCTTCAACAAGCGCTAGAGGAAGCACAGGAAGAATATGACCATGCAACCGTGGTGTACTCCGATGGAAGCATGATCGCTAATTCGAACGACGTGATTGTAAATAGCCATGTAGATGGTGTTGGTGAGGTGTACGAACAAGACAATGTCGTCTATCATGTAGTTGACAACACAATGGAAGCTCAAGATCCTTCAACCGGTCTAAGTACCACGCAAATAAGTCCAACTAGTGAGCCAGTTGTTGTAAGCGATGGCAATTCTGATATATCTCGCCAAGTGGTTAATGTTGTTCAAACAACTCCATCAAACATTGATCCTGCTGCACCCCTAGGTACCAGTGATAATCCCATACGAATTGTGCAGCAGGGAAATCAGTACACTTCTTTGCAGCAATTAAGTGCAGAACAGGTAGCCCAGATAATGCAAGTTTTGCAAAATCAGCACGTTGCCAAAAAGACACAAGAAAGTAGCTCAGGCTCGAGTGTTTTGTTTAATCCACAAACTAATACACGGATAGTTTACAGAGTCATTCAACCATCTGAATTACACAAGAATGGATCTGGCTTAATATCAACACCTTCTCAACTGACACGCACCATCTCTCAACAGACTCCAGGCAGTGTCACTGGAACAAAGAGACAGTATCGCAAAAGACATAAAGGAGAAGACGACGATAAAACTGATGGTCCAGAACTGAGTAAAGAGGAAAAAGAAGAGAGGAAAAAACACCGACCAAGGACAAGATCTGGAAGGGTTTCAAAACCACCGAAGCACATGGTGCAAGACTATAAACATATTCATCCTGTTGACTGGGATGAAGACATGGATGACTCAGATGGGGGATATTCAGACTTTAAATATAGTGAAGAAGAAGATGGCGAAGGACGACAGAAAGACCACAAAGACTCAAATTATATTCATCCAGGTATTAAAATGGAGATGGAATCATTTTTAAAATACCTTGGCTTTCACGCTTTTAATATTTTGAGAGAAATATGTTAATTGTCTTTTTTCATTAAAGGCTTCCTGGAGAAGTATGTGCAGTGTCTCGAAAAAAGAAATAAATTGAAATATTGATCCCTTATTGCAATCCTTAGTGTACTTTAAGAGCATTCACATCTGGGATACGTTAACTTGGAGTCTGCCTAAAAAGCGCAAAGGTTCATTGACAACACCTGTTTTGAGGACTGATGTTCTGTTTAAATACATTATTGCAGTGCTCAAGATGTCAGATTTTAAGGGATGCCCTTATACAAGTAAATGCATTTTATTCTATGTCATACATTTTGTTTGTTTTTTCAGGTGTTGGCACTAGCAGAAGGAAGACAAATAAATGCGAGACTTGTGACAAAACTTACATTGGACGTGGTGGATTAGCCAGGCACTACAGACTATATCCAAGTCATGGGCGCTTGGAAGATGATCCAACACATTCAAATTCAGGTAAGTAAAAACACTTTTATGTGTCAGTCCCATTTTTCTTAAAAGCAGACTAACTGTATATTTCAATTTGTAGTCATTTTGTAACTAGAGGTACATACTTATAAATCTTGTTTGTATGTGCTGTTTGGGTAATCCATACTAATATCTGTCATTCAGAGAAAACCAACGGGCTGCTTTCAGTATCAGAGGACAGTAACACTCAAGACTCTTTCTCCAAAAACACCACAGGCACCTCTTCTGCTGTCACCAAACCAACCAGTAATGTTTCCAGGGCTATGAACCGAGCGAGAAATTCTCTACTTCAAGAAAACAATCCACATAAAAGAAAAGCTAAGTTGAGAGATGTGAGTATTGAAAGAGGACTAAGAACATTTTCAGTGTGAATTCAACAGTAGGATAATCAGGGTGCAGATAAACCACTTGCCGACTGCCGGGTTGCAGTGAATTTCTTCTGTGATAAATTAACGAGCCAAATACTCTCTTTTGGCTTTAATGAAGACAAACTCTTCCATGTCCAGCACGTAGAACAACAAGGTAATTTAAAGTTGTGTACATTGGAATTTGAATGATGAGAAGCAATTTCATTGTATAATTATTTCCCTTATAAGAATTCTATTTTCTGTCAAGTTATACAGTAAGGACAGCTAATTGCAATTTGATACATTACATTTTAGATTGTCCGCCAGTGTGAAAATGAAGAGTTGATGGAAGTCGTCCTGCCAAAATTAGCCAAAGTAATCACAACGTGGGAATTTTTATTTATGAAGGTATAATTATGTGTGTGTTTTTTTCCCATGTTCACAACAACCAATGAAAATTGAGTTGATAAATAGCAGACATCAATGTCATCATTGATTCAGTCTACAAGCATTATGAATCATTTCGCTTCTGTTCTCCTTTGTTATGTCTTTAAGTCATTGGTGAAGACCTAAAGGAAGTAAAAACCTCAATTCATCATTGTTTTGCTTGGATGTAGTGTTTGCCAATTACACATCCAGTATGTGCTTTGGGTTTGATCTGAAACTGCAACATTCATTGGGTAGAATTCCATTACTGTTACTCTACATGAATTATAATGATAGATGTTTTCTTTTGTCACATTTATTTTCTTTAGGCTGAATCTAGCAAGTCTGGCAAACCGGTCTTCCAAGAAATGTTCAAAGAATTTGAGTCTCTGTTTAAACAAATGCAGAAGTCATGTGAGGAATATCTACGTCCATTACCAGATGGAGAAACAATTACAGCTGCTTCTAAGCAACTTGAGGTGAGAAATTACATCTTGACTATTTTTACTCATTTTAGGGCACTAACATACTGCAATATGCCATGAAATGGCATTATCAAAAGCAAGCTTTCAGAATTGACTGTATCACAAAAAAGACCCGGGTTGTGTTTTTAACCAGAATGATTGTGCCAAATTAGATTTTAGCAGCAATATGGGTTTGACAGTTTTTGGAATTCATATATTTGGGGATTTTTTCCAACTTCACAAAAAGTCTAGATACTTTATGAGTAAGCCCCATTGTGTTGGTGTGACATGCACACTACTTGCATTTCTGTGCTTTGACAAACACCTGACATTCCCAATAGCTCTGCTCAAAGAGCATCTTCGCTATATAAGTTGGAATAGAAGTCAAGCTACAGTATGCCAAGACTAGACACTCTCTGCCACAGGTCCGGGGACTTTTCCCAAAGCAAGCTAGCTTTGACGCAAGTCTTTCAAGTATCTATGATAATTTATCAGCTGACAAAATAACCTTTTTATAGGGCTTGTTATTTAATTCACTGTTTTTGTGGCACAAACACAATAAATATATTTTTTTTATTAAGGTCTTGAATATTCAGGGACAAAGTTTACAATCTCTGAAAGCTTTCCATTTCAACAACTGTGCTTCTCTTGTGATATTGATTAAATTTTCTGTAATAATGGTTATTGGTTTTATTACTAAATTTAAATGTAATTCCCAAGGTCAAGGTCAGGTTTATATTCTTAGGTTGGGACCATGTTTGATACAGAGTCGATGTAGGAGTTTTGAATAGTAAATTTATAGGCTGCAAAGAAGAATAACTACTTATAAACATCAAAGAAATTATTGTTTTTATTGTTATTTTTACTTCCACTCATTTCAGATTACTGATACGAAGTTGGCAGAATCTCTAGGTTTGAATGACAGAGTGTACCTCATAAGAGATGTAATTCCAGCAAATTCTGATGACAGTAATACATTCCACTACAAACTGCTCACTGCAGATGCTAGAAATTTGACTTCAACAGCAACAAATAAAAGGACACTTGAACTGGTTTCTGCAGATCAGCTTGTGACACAACCTTCAAAGAAAATGAAAGTGAAAGTTGATGCACCAGCTGTAACAGTTTTACCCTCTATGCACCCAGAGATACTTGAAAATCAGCAGCCAGAAGAAGCAGTTACCACACATGTAGAAAAAGTCCAGCCTACAAATAACGAAGCAATTGAGCAACAGCAGGTTGTAACTCATGATCCTCAGTCTGCTACTATTGAGGTGAACAGTGAAGAGCAGCAAGTAGTGGATGAGAACGGGGAACTGAATCACATATTAGAAGGACAAGAGATTACCGGAGAAAATGTAGAGACGCATGTTATAGACCCTGGAGCAAGCATTATCCAGACAGAGGATGGAACGATCTTGATTCAGAATCCAGATGGCACCACTGTACAACTCCATGCTGATCAAGGAATTCCACTTGAGACTGTCCAGGCTTTATTAGCCATGGAGAACGATGGACAGATACAGATAGACCACACAAGTCAGGAGGAATGTGTTGATCAGCAATAACATTAACCTTTGCGTCCCAGTTGTAAGGATATTGCTGTTGTGTCATATTTCAGGGTTATATTTATTTTACAGCATGGCACATGGCAGCTTGTTTGGATTGTGCACAATAATACATTTCAGTACAGATTCTACTTTTTCTTCCTTACAATTTATTTCTTGCATTTATGTATTCTTGTCTGTACTGAAGTACTAATGAAAAGGGACTGAACAAATATACATCTTGAAGAAGAGGTATTGGATCATTTTTTATTGTAGGATATTAATGGCATGTTGTTATTAGCCCTAATTTGACAAAATGTCTGTGCTTCTTATATTAATACATATGGCCACTGCAGTTGAACTGAACAATCTTGTGACCAAATTAAAATGTAGGATATAACAGTGTGAGCTGTTGTACATATTAAATTGGCTGCTGACCTCGAATTTTCTAAAAAAAAAATTATTTTGAAACATGTTATTGATGCATGTCTTTCATTTGTATATAAGAAGTGTGTGGTTTTTCATTGATTATTCACTAGTAATCTAGTTCAGCATTTAAAATTGTACATATTCTGTATACTACAATAAAGTAATAAATTTTGTAAAGTGACAGCAATTTGACAAATGGTTGCATTTATTCAAAGTAAAGAAAATATCCATGTGCAGTTTGTCCTGCTATCACAGCATGAATGCTCCAATTTTTTTTTTTACAAAAGCTTAATTTGCCTTATGAGATCATAATTAAATTTACAAAAATTATTTGCAAAAGGTCTACCTAAATCCTGTTTCCACCACCATGCTCTGTATTAAAATGTCTGCATTTTTATCAATATAAGGCTGGTGGAGCCAGGCTGAGGTGTAAAACATTAATGTTTCCCTATTCTGGACATGTGCTACATTTTGCACAATTGTTGTCTTCAGTTCTAATTCTCTGTTAAACATGGCAAGGAGCTCCTCTGAGGCATTATCTGAAAAACAGTTTAAAAAGTACAAAATATTATTGAAATCCTCTTAACTTTAAAATGGATTTAACAGGATTTGTGTCGCAATTTAAAACATGATGATAAATTATATTCGAACTTACAGAACTCTTCTATTGGCCATGTCTGAAACAGAGGTTCTGCACCTCCTACACATCGATGCCATTCCAAATCTCTAACGCCTTTTAATGCTGCTGTCACTATCTCAAGCTTTTTCACAATTTTATTCTGCAACAGAAGTATGTGCTGATAAGAAAATCTCATGTTGAATTAATGGAATCAAAACACTGACAACATCCACTTTGTATTAAAGGACATATCCAATAATGTTTTGCGCTTTCTTTCCAAATGGTTTTTTCCCAGAGCAAAAATCGTGCTCTGGTAGTTGAACAGTTAGCTTGTAATTCTACCTTGGTATTTGCTCTTATCTATGAGATCATTGGGCTATGTGTTTTAGAAAAAAGTACAATGTACTTACAATCTTGGTTTTCTAAACAAAATATGTTAATGTAACAAATACTGAACTGGCTATACTCCAATTTAGTAACACCAAATACATTTTTTTCAGAAAGTATCTAAGTGTATACCATTCCTTCTAAAACAGTATCAAGTGCCTTGCACCATGTTTCTAGCTCTTCTGGCATGGAAAAAGTATTTCTTGTTACACTGTCCTCTTCATCATCTGCAGAACTCGTAGAGTTGAATCTAAATAAGAAAGAGCACACCTTTTATCAATAAATTTCTTCTAGAAACCAATTGTGCATAACACACAAGATACACTCACTTTATGTGAAATGACCAAGGCATTTTACTAATATCTAAACTTGTTGCAGCAATACCATTCATTGTATTTTTCTGTCACTAGATAAAATGGATGCTTTTTTAAAGTTTCTTCCTTGATGTTTTAATGGTAAAGAACAAGCTAACAACATAACTTGGCTCTAGCTCTTACATTGTTTCCAACTTCAAATTTGCAATCTTGTTAATGATGGACATTCCCTTGGAGCTCAAAGCATTCCAGCTTTGTACATGATTATGCCAGTCAGCTGCACTATCTTTGACCTTCCTTGCACTGCCTGTAAGATTACCAGCTTGTGGACTCCTTGTCGGACACACTAAAAGGATTTTATTTGAATTTTTACAATACACCTTTAAGTTATTAAAATTACATTATTTAAATAATAAAGCTTGTGTTTCAAACTAAAAGGAATATAATTTTGGGATTAAAATTTTGGCATACACACATTTCTGCATTTAATACTCCATGGGAAACAATTATAGGTGGTGCTTATTGTTCTTTTTTGCAAAACACCATGAAAAGTGCCCCATGAATGTCTTATTTTTAAAGGATCAACACCACCTGCTGCTTCTTTACAACCGCATCACAAAATGACCTGTGTTGACACATTTAAATATCTAGTCTTTGTTCATGATGCTTTTTACAAAGATGCACCGATCTAGTCACTCACTATGTTCCAGCAAGAAACCTGCGGTCTGTAGACATATTGTTACTTAAGCTGGTAAAAATGTGCCTAAAAACTTATGGTGACATTTCTTTTAAATCAGCAGGTCCAAAGAAATGGAATTTATTACCACTGGAAATCAATTGAGTCTACCAAACATTTTAAAAAAGAATTGAAAACATACCTATTCAGGAAATTTTTTGATTAATCGACTTCTAAATTGATTTTACAAATTTTATAGTAATTGCATATTTGCAATAAGGCTGTTCTTCTTTTATCTAGAATTGATTATTTTTTCTTAACAAACATATTTTAGATATGTACTGCAAGTGCTTTTATGTGAGAATCCGTATGTTTTATCTAGAATACTCTTATCTTTTATTTATTTATTTATTTATTTATTTATTTATTTATTATTATTATTATTATTATTATTTTTTTTTTTTTTTTTTTTTTTGTCAATAAGTTCTGTAATTTTTCTTTTATCTATTCCTAATAAATGATTTCTTAAGTAATTGTTTTACGTATATGTAAAGTCTTCTGAACATGTTATGCTGAATTTTAGACTCAAAATAAGTTATTATTATTATTTAAATTGGATGACATTGCCACATGGTTAATGTTTTGGTGATCTAGAAAAGGTCAATAGTGAAAAAAATATAGAACGAACTATATAATGATATTCTTTTAAGTTGTTCTGACGTGCATAAAACAAGGACTACGAATTTATTCATGATCAGATATGTGACTTAAGTGAAGCAGTAATACTAGTGCTACTTATTTTCAGATTCCTGGCATAATTAGAAAATAACGCGTGGTCCCTCTGACCCTAGGCCACAGTAATCCCACCAATCTCATTGGCATCTCCTTTTGTAAATACACTAGTACCTTGTATGGGTGAAAACAAGGAGTTTGGGCTATTGCCCGCGGTGTTCTCACTCGGAATTGAGGGAGATCTTGCTTGACTGCTCATGGTCCGTGATAAGGTAGATGTTATTCGCGGCCGGTTATTCGCACATGTCCGGAAGTGACCTGATAATGTTTTTACTATCCGCAGTTTTGAAAGTTTGCGATTGTGATTGGTGTACGGCATGAGTATTCACTATTTTCAGATTGCAAAACAATTTGGAATTGATGCACTTTCTTATCAAAATATTTCTAAATTAAATCAAATTGAGTTATGATTAACCACGTATATCGAGCTACATTTATAGAGTCAAAAAGGTAAGAGTGCGGATTGAGTAATATGTCTGCGCCCTGATCGGTCAAACTACGAATCATTTCCCGGCGAACGTTTGTCTCGTGAATCCAAGTACATGTGTTTAGGTTGATTCTTGGTATTTAGCCCCACAAAGAATAACCCTGTAAGTATTGTTTAGATTCAGACTCATTGGTAGTTTACATTTATTGTCTTTTGCATCAAATTATTGTCTGAACTTACAGATGCCGCACAAGGACAGACGAAGGTCGTTTTCGGCTTTCGTAAATCCTGACCTTTCGGACCTTTTTCGTTGAAAGTCATTTTATGGCCTTTTTCGGTTGAGTAATATGTTTCTTTTAAGGAAAAGTGATACACAGATTGTTTCACTTAAAATGTGATTTTACTGCTTTTGTCCCAGATAACAAAGTTGTGTATTAATGCGTGCCTGTAAGCAGTCAACTTGAAGTTGAAATTAAAATACAATGTAGGTTAACAACGCATCCACATGTGACCTGTCACTTGTAAATCAGACAGTGGTCTAAGTGCTTTTGTAATAACGATTAATTAACTGATTTATAACTTAATTGATGGATTAACTAATTAAATTATTTACTTATTAATTTATATTTAATCTGTCATATTTTTCTGTAAAATAAGAAATAGTTTTAAAAAATTTCTGAATTTGGCACAATTCCAGTAGAAAAAGACTGTGTTTTCCAATTTAGTTAAAAAAACCCCATTCCATTATATGGAGCTCAGATTTGAAAGATAAGATCCATGGCTTTTAAAGAATTGTAATTAAGAATAGTGTATCCATGAAGAAATGTTTTAAAATAATCTGCAACACAAATGTACATATTTGTCAATCATTGTTACTTTTGGCCAGGAAAAAATGGCAGATATAGTTGTTGTCGGAAGTTGTATGACAGATTTGGTTAGGTAAGTCAAAGAATACGTGCCACTAACAACTCGGCTGTCTCCTTGATCAGTTGGTTATTCAGTTCTGAAGAAATATAAAAGACTCTAATAATTGAAATTATGTCAAAAACTTGAGCAAAATCAGTTCATTGTTTTAAAGCAATTGTAATGAAATTCTCATATGTAGTCTACAAGTGTATTGATATTCAGTATAATCTGGCATACCTTGAAAATGAATTTTACTTGTTTGTTTTTGGATTATTTATGCCTTAAGAAATGATGTGCTGTGGTTACTAAAAGTAACAGCAGTTTTATAAATTGCATTCCCTCTGTTCATTTTGAAGTGCTTTAGATCTTTGTTATCTTAACCTCTTAGCTTTGTACCTGAACTGCCTAAACCTGGAGAGACTCTCTTTGGTAATAAATTCTTGACTGGTTTTGGTGGAAAAGGTGCAAACCAAGCCGTAGTTGCAGCTAGACTGGGAGCAAATGTAGCAATGGTGGCTAAGGTAAGAAAAAAAAAAAATAATAGAAAGGTTTTTTCTTCTGAAATATATATTTCATAAAACTTTTCACCAAGAGGAAGTCTTTAATATTACATTGTATATTAAATGTTTTCTTTTCTATTCTCTTTTTGATCATTTATCATGAATGATATATTTTACTCTTGTGACCATTATTTTTAAAAATCAAAGAAAATTGCTGGCTTCTGCAGATGATATTGATATTTAAGAAATATGGCTTTAGTAGATGTTGGTGATTTTTTTGTGTATATGCAGAAAGTGAGTCAGTAGATTTAAAAAAGCATATTTTCAGGTAGGAGATGACAGCTTTGGGCATAATTACATTCAGAACTTCAAGGAAAACAAGATTAATGTTGGTAAGTGAATTACTTTTTACGTTATGTAAAATAAAAATTAAGTTGTGGAATCATGTCTATATTGAACCATATTTTCATGCACAATGTCACATTTAAAATTCTTAATTTTGCACTTTCATGTGATTTTGAATTTGGAGTTATTTTTTTTTCTTCTTGCAGACTATGTTTCAACCACCAGAGAGGCACCAACTGGGGTAGCACCCATATCTGTCACTCCTGATGGTATGTTTTGCCTCAATTCAAAGTGGAATCCAGTGTGTGCATGTGTGTGCGTCTCAGGAAATCAAGTATCTGCTACACCCCCCCAAAAAAAACAAATGTGTCTTGGACCCACAAAAATGTTTGATATACTTCAAAATTATATAATTTAGTCATTAAAAAGAACTTCAGTTAACATGTCCTCCCTTTTGCTTGATCTGTCAAATATCAAACAATTCTGCCCACACTGGGGCCTACAGAAGCAGATATATTTCTCTTATTTTTGTAAAATATTTATTTGGTTGTAAACCACATGAGATATTGAAATATGTTCTCTAACCTGCATGTTACCAAATGTATTTATTTTTATATATTTCATATAGGTCAAAATGCTATTGTGATAATCAGTGGTGCCAACCTGTATCTCAGTGAAAATGACTTACAGAAAGCTGAACCTGTCATTAAGACTGCCAAAGTGGTACTCTGTCAGCTGGAAATATCCACAGAAACTGCTCTAGCAACACTTAAAATGGCAAAGAAGCATGGAGGTATGTAATCTGTTTGTCTTTTCAGGTTTTGCACACCTTTTTCTTACAGTTGCTGTGGTTCCACTTCACTGAGGCCTCATTAACATTAATTGCTGTTGTTACTTGAAGTTGGAAATAAGTTGTTTTTTTAATTGCCGAATCATTTACTTATACAATTGTATAAATACTGACTAGGAGCATGTGTGTATCCACTGATTTAATAGGTCTTTATTTAATTATAGCTCTTCAGACAGTTATTGAATCACCATAGAGGAAAATACTTTATTTAGTCGATTTTGCATCAAAAAAATATATTCAGAAATTATTTTGATGAAAATGAGTCTCTGATATATTTTAGTGAAAACAATACTCAATCCAGCCCCAGGGCAACAAAACCTAGACCCAGAAATATATGCAAATACTGATATTATGTGTCCCAATGAATCGGAGGTAAGGTCAGTTTTCTCTTGTGTCTTTAGAATTACATGCTGCATTTTTTAATGACTTCTTCTGTTATGTTCATGTGGATAACAGAGTTATAAATAGAAGTAATTATCTTTTTCCGAATGTTACCCAAACCTTCACCAATAGACTAGGTGGTTGGATTGCCAGACCTGGTGAGGGAGTGACATTATTTTACAACTTTTCCTTAATATCTTTAGGCTGCCAAGATAACTGGTATAAATGTTGACACCATGGAAGATGCTCACAAAGCTATTAAATGGCTGTTGGACCAAGGTTGTGGCATGGTTATCCTTACACTTGGGAAGAAGGGTTCTGTGTTTGCAACCAAAGAAAACCCAACACCTATTCACATACCAGCCAAGCAAGTCAAAACAGTTGACAGTACTGTAAGTGTTACTTGTTGCTTCAAACATATGTTGGAAAACTACATTGAGGTGAAGCATATGGGTTCATCCCATTTAAGTTAATATGATGAAAAAGCCTCCTCTTGTTTCCAAGGCAAACACAAGCTATTCTGTTTATTACTCAGTGCCAGGAAGATGGGTGTTAATCTGTTAAACTGATCGCATTCAGCAAGTCCCCACATAGTTGGATTGATCTATGTAGACCAAGAGTTTCAGTGAGAATGAACCCTAAATCAAGAGTAGTTTCTTGTGTAATTTTTCTTGTGATGGACAAGATGTTTTATTGACAACTAAAACTGATGAAATTACCTGATTTCTAAATATTTTATTCTAGGGTGCTGGAGATGCTTTTGTTGGTGCACTTGCATTTTATTTGGCACATTACAGTTCAATTGATCTTCAAGAAGCCATTCGTCGTTCTGGGGAAATTGCAACTATCAGTGTACAGAAGACTGGCACCCAGACCAGTTATCCCTGGAGAAAGGACATACCACGAGATTTGTTTAGTAATCATTAATGTCAATCCAATTTGTGACTTTTGTTTGATTTTTTTCATAAATTTAACATTTCTTGTTGAGCAATGGTTGGTCTGCAGCTAATGTAGAGAAAATGTGTGAAAAAAATATTAAAAGCAGGTACATGTGCATCAATAGGATTTTTGTGTGTTTTGGTTTGCCAGCATTTAATGGTTTGTAACCAGGTCACGTGTTTAAATAAAGTAATCTGTGTTCTGTGACTGTGTATCCAGCCTATGATACTAAGCTTGTTGTTGCATGTTAAATGTTCATCAATTTTGCTTCCTTGCAATTTTAATGGACTGCTGTCTTATTTTCCCTTCTGCAAAAATGGGGTGAATATCAATTAAGATGTATATGAGTATTATCTGGACATCATCAGTGAACATTGTAATCGGACAGAAAATTGTAATCTAGAAGAGATGTCTTACAATTTATGAAATGGATGAAAAGAGAACATTCTGTGGTGTGTGTGGTGATATTGTATGTTTAAGTGACTTCTGATTATTCCACAGGAGGTAGGATAAATGTATTGGAGATCATAATTGATTTTATTTTGAAGGATATCTTATGACATGTAACTGTCTTGTGTATATTATTTAGTGTAATTCAAATAGCTAGCATAACTCGTTTTGTGTTGTTATTTGAATTTTTTTCAAAGCTACAGGCTTGTAGACTGTTCAGATGCAATATGGTGCAACAATTTCATTACTAATAAATGTTATAAGTGCAACTTGTATGTGCAATGTAAATAACCCAGTGCTTGTATTAGTGCTTTAGATATCTTTGGTTTTGGTTTCTCATAATAGGACCCTTGAGAACAGCCTGCAGTGATCATTATATGTGAATGCAGAGCTCTGTTTCAAATTTGAACTCAAGTTTTTCTGTGTAACTTAAGCAACTTGAAACTTAAATGCAGTTGCCAATATGATTCTGTTGACTTAAATCAGAAACAGAGGATGTGGTATGCCAAAGCCATTCACTTACTGCTAGTTGCTTCAGAATGCTATCTTATATAATGCAATTGATTTATTGTAGTTCTTGCATATTACCACCTTAGTCTCCTTTAATGATGCAAGTAACATGAAAATTTGTGCTTAATTGTATAAATACTTATTATAATAATCAGCTTTTAAATGTTGATTTATATCAAGTACCAGCAGTTGACCAGTTTTAGATATTGAGAGCTCACAAAATATAATTTGGGATCAATATCACTGTAAAAATCTTTTTCATTATTATTGATTATTTCTATTGGATTTATTGGATTATGTTAAACAGTATTTACAGGTGCCTTTGATCCAGTTGCAATGGCTTAACTTAGTACTGTTCTATCCCATAAGATGGATGTGAATTCTGTCAGTTCACTGATCAGGGAATATATTCGCTATTGCTCTACCCATTGGCATAACCAGCACATGGTGTAGCCACAAAACTTTGATTTTTGGTCCTTTTGGATGTTGCGGTTAACAACAGCAGCATAAATTTCAATTTTTCTGGTAGTATTGCAGATTTTTTCAACTAGCCCTTTTGATTTTGTATATAATGAAAATTTTTTATCATTCTGGTGGCCTTTCTATGTTTGTTAGAAAATACAGAAAAACTGAAGTTCAAATTGGCCATTTTACGGATGATATGAATTGTGTATGTGTAATCTGATTCCTGATTAGAAGGACCCAGTTAGTATGCCATAATTGCAATATCTTCTGTGATAGCTCTTTACTGCGTTAAGCACCAGCTCACTACTGGAAAAGAGGCAACTGTTCTTTTCATATTTGTATAGTAGTATGCATGATAATTGTTTGAAGTGCTGGGGGTGTGAAAAATTTGAATTTTTCATGATGGTTTAGCTACCATACAAAACATCGGAGTTCCAAGAAGTACAATGTACATGTGATCACGCTTGTACTAGTACATTTCCTTTGCTTTTATTATATTTTTGCCCTATATCAGCTACTAGTAGCTGATATAGGAAAACATGACAAGGGTCTGATCTATAATGATCAACTGGATTTTATTTTACTGATACTGCTGGACACAGGGCAGTAGTTAAAAACTCTGGGGGTCTTGTCACTACACTCTCTGGCAGTTTTTTTCCTCTTGTATTGTTGATAGTGTTAAGGTTGTTTGCAGAGACCACTGATTTGAATGTTATTAGTGATTTTACAGTCATTTTATACTGTTACATTATGATGATTTGACTATATTCTTAAGTCAAAACTACACTCCTCTCAATGTTATTTATCTATTGTTATTTATTGATGCAGTAAGATGTTTCAGAAATATTGCTTTTTAAAGTAGATGCTAAGCATGTATTTACAAATCATGATAGAAACTCTTGGTTTTCCGTGTTTCACATATTGTAAAGTTTTGTTTCTAATAAATCTGTTAAATTTTGAATCTTGCAGTTTTTTAAGTTTGCTCCTGTGTATATCATGGAAAATAACACATACCGAAAAAACCCCAAAGAAAGATTTCCCCCCATATGCTCTCTAATAATTGTTTGTTTTGGTCAGTTTATTCTTTAAAATGGGCATTTACTTTTTATCACAAATGTTTACCCAGGCAAAGGTACAGGTATGTTTGTTATCTGCTTTTAATCCTTCATCCCAGCCAGTACAATAAATATCGCTTCTCCAAAATATATTTTAATACATTAAAACAGTCTTTAGAAATTAAAGTTAAATGCTGCTTATAAAACATGATTAGCAACATATAGATCTATTGTGTTTTCATTTTCAACATTAAAAAAATATTTTGTCTGAAATATTTTGTTTCACCGCATGTGGACTTCCTTCTTAAATACATTTATAATATTTAGTCGTCCGTGCATCCAGCCCTACCGTCGAGCATTATTTATGATAAACCTCTCTGTTCGGACTAAAACGAGGCTGATGTGTGGAGGTGTGCAGGCATATTTTGTAAAAGCTAACATGGAGAGTATACCGCGTATTTATGGATCCTAGTCATCGGAAGGTTTGTGCTTAACGGTTGGTGAATACTGTAGTCTACTCAAAGTAATTACGATGGGGTTACTGACAATATTGAAGAAGATGAAACAGAAGGAAAAGGAAGTTCGACTATTGATGCTGTATCCTTACTGATATAAGCATTGGTAGTGGATCTGGTGATCCAACTTCAGTCGGGATGGGTAGAGCCATTTCAAACGTTTAATTTCATCCATCGAATATTACGTCCTGCGTTCTCGCCCAGCAGTGAACCGAACCTTGTAAAACCATAATGCTATTGTATTATATTGGTGAATTTAGTTATTTTTAGAAAACTATGTGTGTATGTCGTTATTGGTGCTGGTGGTGGTGGGAGGGGGTGGGGGTGCAAATAGTGTCACCAGTCTGGTGTTCTTGGTTACCGAGTTAATTTTGAGCTCACTAGTAAAATGCATGGAGATTCAGCTGCTTGGTTTATATATTTTGTTAATTAGTAAATGTTAACTTACTTGGGCATAATAAGTTTAGCCTAGCATTTAAACCATTTCAGAGGGGAAGCTGTATAAATGCGACACATTTACTAAGCTTAGCTTTACATTTGATAGTAACAGTGTGACATGAGTGTGCCTTAACTCAAAGTCAGAGGTTTGGATAATGCAGGCAAAACCACAATCCTAAAGAAATTCAACGGAGAAGATATCAACACAATTTCACCAACTCTGGGCTTCAATATAAAAACATTAGAACATAGAGGGTAAGTTATTTCATTAATTCAAATGATATTCCAGTAACCATCTTATTTTGAGATGTAATAATTAAAATGTCTTGGTTGATTTTGGGTTTATTCTTTGGAGGACACCTTGCTCTGCTGCTGTATAGGTAATCAGTGAATTTGTTGCTTTAGCCAGATTGCTTTAAGAATTCACCTAAATAGGAAATATTATATACTTCAGTGAGGAGTTGGAAAAAAAATTTTATGATTTGATACAACTTCCGTGTGCTAAATATTGTATGTATTAACTCTGTCACAACAATAACATTTAAGGAATTTTTATCATACTCTGAGAAGTTAAAAAAATCATAAAAACAATGTATCAGTAACGTAACAGAATCCCTTGCACCTTTCAGATTTAAATTAAACATTTGGGATGTTGGAGGCCAAAAATCACTACGGTCATATTGGAGAAATTATTTTGAAAGTACAGATGGTCTTATATGGGTAGTAGACAGTGCAGACAGGCGAAGATTATCTGACTGTAAAGAAGAGTTACACCAGTTATTAGTTGAAGAGGTAAGAATACCAGGAGTGCACTCTATGCAATCTTTTCCTTAGATATAATTTGTGAAGGTTACATTGAGTGAAAACCATGTATTTGTAGATGTCAGTGATCAGATGAAAGGTTTTACCTGAACTATCAGAGGTACTAGTAGATACTTTGTACAGGTATGATGTCAGTATCTCTTCTATGACAACATAGGAATTAGAAATTTACTGATTTGCACAAATTTCAGGGCTTAATTTTCATGTCAGCTTTTATTGGATAGCATCAATCAAATGATTTCAAAGACCATTGTATCATGTTAAAATATAAAGTTCTTTTAAATTTCATATTTTGAATTAAAAATAAAACTCCTTGATTCTCCTAGTTATTTATTTGCTATGAATTGTTTTAAACATTGCAGAGGTTAGCAGGTGCAACATTATTAGTATTTGCAAACAAGCAAGATTTACCAGGTGCATTACCTGCAGAAGAAATCAAAGAGGTTTGCCATTTTTATAATTTTGTAATCCAAAGAAATCATTTTGATATATTTATGAACAGTTTTTGTACAACAGTAAGCTTGATTGGATGAGATTGGAACTTCCGTAAAAAGTAATATAATTTAATCTTATACAGACTATTTATAATTTGTAATCTTTCAGTTTGCTCAAATAAAATTTTTAAAGTTATTTCAAATATTGCCACATTATGGATAATTTTCTTTGTGATGGCTCACAGCAAATGTTAGTTTTAGGGTTGACATTCTTCATTGTTCTTACTGAAACTGATTGTTATTATAGTACCCTTTTTCATTTCAGGCTTTAGAATTGGACCTTATCAAGACGCATCACTGGTTAATTCAAGGTTGTAGTGCTGTGACTGGTGAAAATTTACTACAAGGAATGGACTGGATCATACAAGACATTTCTTCGAGAATTTTTACTATGGATTGAACTCCTTTAAAAATAATGTACTAGCATTATTGCCAGCAAAGTATCATAAAATAAGCAAAGAGTGTACTAGTTGGTATCACCCTTCGAAATTGTTTAAAATTTGAAAGGTGAATATATTATAGAGTTGAAAAGTTTTCAAAGGAGACAATATTTTAAATTATGTGCAGAAAGAAAAGTGATGACAACGAGTCCTTTGCAGTACTGCCTTTGTCACAGAAATATTCAAAATCTGAACAAAGCTAGTTTTATGTAACTTTCATCATCAAAATTTTAATTGTAAATTATTTCTTAAAAGTTCTTTGTTCCAGAAAGCTGTAAAATATGACACTTGCATTGTGTAAGATAAAGATGCAAGCTACTTATGGGTCTTGTTTTGTAAATAATCTTAATCATATAATTATATAGTCAAGTCAGTGTGGACAAAGACCCCATTCCCACATATATTTAGATTGATCTTTCCTCCTGGGGAATCTCACTAGATTGGAGTCAGCTTGACTGGCTTAAATGTCTGTCCCGCCTACTAAAAGCTGTAAGGGGGTAATTAACTGTCTTGCACGCTCGGCTGACAGCAATTTAGCTTGAACCCCCAGGGAATTAGGTGGATCCAGATGGATCGATCTAAATATCTCTCAAAATCTCTCTAAATGCTCTCAAAATCACATTCCTGCATAAGCATTACAGCACAATGTCACCTGCTGTCTCAACAGACACAATAAAGATTATATACACCTAAAACTTAGTTTTGGTCAGAATTAATTTGGAATTATGCTTCTTTGTCATGAAATTAAATTTGTTGCAGAATAGACATTTATACTGGCTTTTGTTGCAAAAAAGTCTTTTTATTAGAATATGAAGCCTTTAATTCAGTTACATTTTAGAGGATTAAAAATATTGAAAATCCCTATGGAGTTTTTTCACTTAGGCCCCATTCAGAATAGGGGACTAACTAGTCCGAGGGTTAAATATGGTGACCCACTACAAAGCTGGCCAACTAATCCACTAGTAGACACTGAATAGATACCCCGTGGGGAAGTATTCAAGTGGGTCGACCATATTTAACCCTCTGACTATTAAGTCCCCTATTCTGAATGGTACCTTAGAAAGCATTCAGAACAAGTTGATCCGTGAATCAATATGGCCCACCCACTTAAAAGCAAGCTGCCTTATTCCTGACATATGTGCTATCCCTGCAGGGGTCTAACAATTAAACATTGAACCCGAGATATCCTCCATTTAATAGAGCCGGGACGACCATCACAGGTGGCTTGCTTTTAAATGGGATCGGCCATATTTAGTCCGTGGATCAGTTAGCGCGAGAATCATCTGTTCTGAATACACTTACAAGTCCTTCCACTCCCCAAAGGTCTTCTCACAATTGAAAGTACTTTGACCATCACACCATTCTTTCAAAACTCGTGTGAAAAAAAAATATAGCAAAGTAGGATCACTTCTTTATTTTGCTTATGCAAGCTAAACTAACAAAACTTTGTATTACCAATATATAGCAAAGTAGGATCACTTCTTTATTTTGCTTATGCAAGCTAAACTAACAAAACTTTGTATTACCAAGATTAGTAAATGCATTGCTTAAAAATTGTGAAAGATTCAAACCTAATATCTGCTATTTGAGTAGAATGGAATTCAGAAATCACCCCCCCCCCCCCCACCCCCACCCAATCAGCATATTCAGATATGGCTGTCCCACATGAGAAGCAGACTAAGAACATATAACTTTTGAATGAAAACTGATTTCTTTATTGTGGTTGGGACAACAGACGGTGTAAGTCTACGGACCGTTTGATTCCAGTTTTGACAAGCTTTGCATCCATCCATTTGGTCTAATGGTTCACATATAAATCACTACTCACTGAAGTCATGTTTACTTGAATTAAGGTTGAATTTATAACTTTTCTTTTTTTTTCCTCACATATTGTAATGATATTTTATACAAGTTACAACAGTTAAATTTTACCTTGACAAGTTTTTTATTATATTTACAAAATCAATATACATCCCCAGCAACTATTTGAAGCAAGGTAGCACATGAAAAAATGTGACATTAGATGTCAACTTGCACAACTGGTATTCAAAATGAACACTGCCTTTTTCAAGTCTTGGCTGCTTACATCAAGCACAGAGACATTGCACTTTTCCCCTCAGTTGTGGTGCACAACCTTACATTTATCAATGGTTGTTGAGTCAAAAACAGGCAAACAAACACCTGGCTCTCAGTTAAGTCCACTTCCAATGGACACTTAAGTTCATCACTTTGTTTCTTTAGATGCCATGTGTCTCATAAGCTGATTTGTCAGTTTCTCTAGTTTCTTCACATCTTGGGAATGCTCTGTCCTGTACTGGAGACACTTGAAATAGAAGAACTTACACAATGTAGCTATATTGTGTTACAGCAGATGTTTTATATTTAAATTTACAGATCTGCAAGAAACTTTCAAACTGTTTGACAAATGATACAAATGATAAGTTAACATCTAAAAAGGGCTTTAAATTATTTGTTTAAAATATCAAAAACGAGTAAGCAAATTGCCAAACTAATTATTTGAATGGCAAAGATATTAATCAAAGTCACCACCTAACTGAATTTTGAAAATGAAAATCAAAAACATATTAATTCAATATTTATTGGAAAATTAATATAAATATATCGGTGTTGCATGAAACAAAGTCAACAATAAGTGCAGTACTTATCCTTATAATTACAAATATGTTAATGAATTTGGACTTCTCCTGTCTTTCCGAATTCTATTCAATATAAATTATATTCTTAATTTCAAAGATGCTATAAAAGATTAAAGACAAATAACTTACCACTTGATCATCTGTAATTTTTATGTTTAATTTCCCATCACAATGTCTGTACTTCACCACAAAACGGCACTAAAAAAGATAACAGATTCCATTACCCATTGCTCTAATTCTAAAAAAGAAAGCAAACAAAACAAAAAACTTAATATTTCCCTTGTAGGGCGAATCTTATTGAAATATGGCTAGAAATTATCCATTAAACTGGTGTTGAATAACTCAATTTGCAACAACAACCAAGAGTACAAGTATGATAATGCAATTGTTACATGATTGGTTTTAGAGTGATTTATCAAATACATTGTTACTGCTGNTATTATTATTATTATTATTGGCTGCTTACATCAAGCACAGAGACATTGCACTTTTCCCCTCAGTTGTGGTGCACAACCTTACATTTATCAATGGTTGTTGAGTCAAAAACAGGCAAACAAACACCTGGCTCTCAGTTAAGTCCACTTCCAATGGACACTTTAAGTTCATCACTTTGTTTCTTTAGATGCCATGTGTCTCATAAGCTGATTTGTCAGTTTTTCTAGTTTCTTCACATCTTGGGAATGCTCTGTCCTGTACTGGAGACACTTGAAATAGAAGAACTTACACTATGTAGCTATATTGTGTTACAGCAGATGTTTTATATTTAAATTTACAGATCTGCAAGAAACTTTCAAACTGTTTGACAAATGATACAAATGATAAGTTAACATCTAAAAAGGGCTTTAAATTATTTGTTTAAAATATCAAAAACGAGTAAGCAAATTGCCAAACTAATTATTTGAATGGCAAAGATATTAATCAAAGTCACCACCTAACTGAATTTTGAAAATGAAAATCAAAAACATATCAATTCAATATTTATTGGAAAATTAATATAAATATATCAGTGTTGCATGAAACAAAGTCAACAATAAGTGCAGTACTTATCCTTATAATTACAAATATGTTAATGAATTTGGACTTCTCCAGTCTTTCCGAATTCTATTCAATATAAATTATATTCTTAATTTCAAAGATGCTATAAAAGATTAAAGACAAATAACTTACCACTTGATCATCTGTAATTTTTATGTTTAATTTCCCATCACAATGTCTGTACTTCACCACAAAACGGCACTAAAAAAGATAACAGATTCCATTACCCATTGCTCTAATTCTAAAAAAGAAAACAAAACAAAAAACTTAACATTTCCTTTGTAGGGCGAATCTTACTGAAATATGGCTAGAAATTATCCATTAAAATGGTGTTGAATAACTCAATTTGCAACAACAACTAAGAGTACAAGTATGATAATGCAATGGTTACATGATTGGTTTTAGAGTGATTTATCAAATACATTGTAACTGCTGTTAAACTTTATGAGACAAATCTCACTCGTGGTTCACTCGTGCATGTATTTCTCACGGCTTTACAATTACATTTTGTGATTTTCTGCCTTATATCAACAAACCTTATTTGGATCAGAGATGTACAGTCTTTCTGCGGCTTTTGAAAATTCGTCCCAACTGGTCAAATAAGTCATTTTAGTAGTAAATATGTCTCGTCTTCTCCACGTCTAGCACCTGCTTCGAGCCTCGCTTTCAGTGATTAGCTGCGGAATATAATTGATAAGGAATTAAGCCTTATCTTCCTGGGACAAATATTAACGAAATGATAACACCAGAAATGGTGTCAATTATTTACTTTACCCATACAGCAAAAGAATTTTATTCATATTAGCTACATTTAGGTAGGGTCGGAATATTAGCCAATGAGTGACATTCATGATTGTTACTCCATACGAAAAATGGCGACGGCTTGAAGGTTTGAAAGGGGTTGGCCTAAAAATATACCATTTACTTATAGATGTAGATGCTCTATTAATCATCGGTTCAGTTATAAGAAGTGAACAAAGGTGCACTACCAAACCGATGAATTGAAACGATAATATCAACATTGCAAGAAGTTCATTGGCGAAATTAAAAAAAATCGGGAACTAAAATCGGAAATGTCGAGGTGAGTCCATTGTTTTGACTTATACTAGTACGAACTACATGTATGATCATTGATGCAGATAAATTGATACGAACATGATTTCATACATATCATGTAAAACTTTCGCTTTTCATTGTAACAGGAAAGAACACCTTTTTCAGTACATGGTAGTGTCATTAATTGAAATTTGATTAAATGAACTTTTAGCCAGTACTTTAACTATTGTACGATCGGAATTTCCTGTTTTTTTACGATTTTGTTCATTGAATTAAGTTACTGACAGTATCCCATTCTAAGTTACAGAAATCTGTTTTTACCTCTGCAATTGTGCGAAAAAGCATTTCAATGCCATGTTACCATTGACAGAACTTCTGCCACATGTCAGTTGTTGTCAGTCAAAATATAAATAAACACTGGATAACAGTGCGAGTGATGAATCATTGATATCAGTGAATGATACTCTGATTGTGATTGATTGGTGGAAAGTAGAGTCGTAATCCATTAAATTATGATATACTTTCTTGTGTTTGATATTATAAGTTAGTACTTTTTCAGCTTTAAGCCTTGAGATATTTATGTTGCACTTTTTAATTTGGAACAGATATTAAGGATGAAATTGTAGGATTGGTTGATGATTGCTAACATTACAAACACTCTCTTTTAAGAGAGGAAATGCATGTTGAAACAAAACATCTTTACTAATTAAAACAATTGTACAAAAGAATCTCCTTATCATCTGGTTTCTGTCCAGATGTCATCCATTGCTCTGAATTGTATGCATGCTATAGAAAAAAAAAACAAATATAGAATTATTCTACTTAAGAAGAGCAGGTATTGAAAGCATTGAAATAATCATTCCAGGTATATTTCCATTAGCCAAGGGAGTTAATTTGTCTATGTAGGAAGATATAGCATCATCACTTGCATAACTTCCTGGTTTAAAAACATCAGAGTGGTGGCAAAGCAAAAATGAATCCTTTGCTTGATTTTTTTTCCACAAAATGTACCTAAAAATGTATTCTTTATGTGTATTTACCAGTAGAGTCTTGGTGACTCGCAACAGGCTATGATTCAACAAAGTGGAACCTTTGTGAAATGGAGGCACTGACTATTCCCTTCTGCCATAGATTTATCTGATGCAATTTACAGCATTCACAAGTCTAGCTGTGTGACCTAATTTTAGATTAAAGATGATTTGTAGTATATGTAAAACAAAGAAATATATTGTATTGTCTGAATTATTTGCCTTCTGCTGCAGTCAGCAAGCTGTTACTGGTGGAGTAGACCATCTGTGTATTTGCATACTGGGATGGTCAGAAAACTGGAGTAACGAAATTAGTGCACAACAAATCAATTGTTAATATGTTTAGCATTCAAATCTTGTATAAATGCTCTCTCTGCACATCTCCTTAATCACCGTATCCTGAGAAGGACATCTGATTTCAAATTTATAAGGATTTACTGTGCCATTCTGTGGTTTTTGTTGAATATTATTATGACTGCCTACCTTTTCTCCAGGTCCTGGCACTGGAGTGAATGAGTCAGGGGCAGCATGTTATAGCGAATTTAAAGAGAAAGTGATATTATCTTTTCACAAATCAACGCCTTAGGCAGATATTTTTAATTACTTGTTTCTCAAACTCTGCATATCTCAAAATGGTCACAATAGAAAAAAACTATAGAAATAAAATTGAGCAATAGGAATAAAATTGAGCAAAATTTATTATCCAATGTCCTACTGATCATATCAGAATAAAATAAACATAAAAACTCAAAACTTTTACAGTTGTCACACCTGGCATGACTGTGTATAAGTTCAACTCAAAGGTAATTTTAACCAAAGTAAGTGATGGGTTCATTTTCCCTGTACTTTGATGGACAAAATATAATATGTTAAAGGGTAGATATGACAAACATTTTAGTTATTGCAACTGTCTGCATGCTGGCTATCAGACTAAAAATGGTTCTGAGTGCAATTGTTACATGAGTATAAAACAGTCAGCGGCAACAGGATTATTATAGTAATAATAATAATAACTTTTAACTGTCATGTGGTTTGGATAATAAGCCTGTTGATGTGAACCATAGAGGTATTAATCATAATCTCACTTTTATTATTATTTTTAAGAAAAAATCGTTACTTTTAGGAAAGTTGAGCTGCTTTTGGTTTTAAAAAATGCCACCGTGGTCCTTTCAGATTAAACACTCGGGTAAAACTTGGACATGATAATGTTATTATGTCCAAGGGTAAAATTTGCATGAAAAAAATTAATATCTTCATATAGGTCAAACTGTTTTTTCACGGATTTTTTTTTTTTGTTTGTTTGTTTGATTGGTTTGCATGAAGTTTGTCATGTATTTTAAACAAAACACTACATTGAACAAGAATCAGTGATGTTACCATTTTGAGATATGGCTTTAGTAAATTGAAATTAGTGTTAACATTGTCTATTTAATAAAACTACTGTTTGTTTTTTTAATAGTGAACAAAAAATACCCCCCCTCCCCACCCGGGACCTCTGATGAAAATAAAATTTATTTGAGAAACAAATAATTAAAAAATATTTGCCTTACAGTATATACCACAAGTAGATTATCCTTTTGATAAAAACTGATATTCTATTGAAATAAATTTATTTGGTCCAGATGTCAAAAAATGGTTTTTTCGTCAATCTGATAATGATGTGACTGGACAGTGTTATCAATCTAAATCAAATTTGTGTGGGTCAGGGTTTATATCTGACTGTTATAGTTCCGATAACAAAAGTAGCACATACAACAATATAGAAATTAGGAGGTCTGTCAGGATTATCAGAATGCTGTGATCCCTCTCAACATTTCAGTTTTGTTTTATTTTCATTTGGACTAAATCTGCTGTGTATCATGTGGACCATTGGCTGGAATGTTAGGTTTCTAACAGTAAGGAAAATATACAATATATGAACAAAAGCAAGACTTAATGATGAAAGGAACACAGGGTGTATTTAGGAGGACAGGTTCATTATTCAGGTCCAGCAGTTTCCCTGAAGGCAAACCTGTAGCAGCCACTAATTTTGGGTGAGTTTTAAATACAATATTATAAGTCACAAATGGCCCAGCATACATAGTAGTTCTAAGGGCACTTCTCATATGCAGTTAACACAATTTCACTCACATTGACTTAAGGCTTCAGTGTTGATACAGACATGAAAGCATACACAAGTGTGTTGGAAATGTCATTTGGATTGAATTTTGGATTTCTCAAATGTTCACATGAAGTAATGTCGGGAAAAGCTAGATTAACATTGTTAATAATTCATATATCAAGTCAATAACAGTGGATGATATTATTTGTAATTGTGCCACATGGTATGTTCACACTGGAAGTAGATCAATCATGTCCATTTCTGTCCATCCCATCAGTGACCCATGCTTAATAACATCCCTACCATGAGTATCCAGTGTAGCTATGCAGTTGCTGAGCCATGTTTTGTTGATGATGAGAATTGTTCTTCTTTGTGCAAGTACTGATAGATTATTTGTGGGGAAGTGTGTTTTGTAGCAAGCAGACATTGTACTGCAATGGCTAAAATGAATTACTTCCTTTTATTCAGGCAACGTAATCATTGCAAGCCTGAAAAGATTTCCCAGACTTTTTCCCAATTTTTTAGTTTGATTTTTTCATTACTCAAACAGATATTTCAATTAACAAATGCAATGATGTAATTTATTATTATTATTTTATTTTATTTATTTATTTATTTTTGACAAGGATGTGTTAAGTATGCACAGAAAAAACTTCCTGTGCCAAATATACCCAAACAGAGGCAAATATAATAACATGTCACACAAGTGTTATGTATAAGGGTCATAGAAATTGAAATGCTGTACTGGACTTATCAGTTGGTATACTTGTAAATATCACTACAATAATACAGAAAATTGATGAAAGGTTTTCTGATTATCTGGTTGATTGTACCACATTCTCATTTGCTTTGTTATCTATCATTGCTATCTATCAGGTTAAGTCTTATTGCTTCAATATCAACGCAGAAAAAAAGCTTAAACTTTGTACAATGACTTACATAAATGTATTATTGATGCAATTTAAGTATTGTTTGCACTTTTTTATCAAGATTTTAATTTAACTTTTGGAATCGGACATGTTAAATTGCAAGCGTCTTGCAATTATTTCTTTGTTATTTGTATAGGTAACCCATCAGACTTGAATAGAAGGCATGATCATGCAGTGTAAAAGATCTCAAGATTCTGTGTTATATCTGTGTTTAATATTACACATAATTTATCTATAGACATGTTTATTATTTGTCTCTGGCATCTGGTAATGGTTGCACAGGTAACATGACATGATAGCATCAGTCATACCAGTAATTTATGAGGGTTTTAATGGTCAGATTAAGTTTACCCCTTCATGACTCATATCTGAAGATGGTATGGATTATGATGTGGATATTTATGACCCAGCAAAAGTATTAAAGAAACACGTTTTTCTTTGACGTTTGTGTTATAATAATGTTTCACTCTTTGGTGATAGAAAATCACATGTTGACTATAGATGTTAAACTGAAATGGAAAATGATTATCACAATAGCTTAAGATAAAAGTAAATGTTGATGA